AAAGGACCATCTTTTTCCATGTCGTGTGGATATTGCAAGGGAAATCATGGTAGCAGCCACATGTTTCAGGAGATAATACCACAGTGGAGAGGGAAGCCATGCTCACTCCTGGGAACTCAGCCACATACAGGGCCAAGCACAAACTCAAGGTTGCGTCCTACGGAATGAACTGCCTTTACAGTTCTGTTTTTCAACTCCTTTCTTCTAAGCCTTATTTGGTCTTTCTTGCCCATAGACTTCTCGTAGGATAAATAATGGCCCATGTCCTTAGTGAATTTGAATTCTGATTGGAGAGAGAAAAACTAAAACAAAGCATGAACAGGAATTTCATAACAATGAATATTTAGAAGTGCAGCACACTGCAGAAATCAGAGAAAGGGGGAAGAGTGTGGCCTGGAGAGGATTTGTGGAGCAGAGTGATGAAGGACCTGAATGCAGATCAGAGACCAGATGTTCAAACTTTCAATGCCTAAATTTCTTCATTTATAGAGAAAAAGAATAATAGCAGACATCTCATTAGATAGCATCTGAAACCTACTAGTATTTGCAAAAGGCACCTGCCACTTTTTCTATGCCAGGCTTTGTGGATGTGTAGGAAAGAAGCCCTTTCAAATGGGGGAGAACAGCAGATGCAGAAAGCACGGGAATGGGAGAAATAGAATGCTATGTAGACAGCTATTGGCAAGCTTGTACTGGAGAAGAGAGGGCGTGACTGGAGCTGTTATTTACAGGTATCACTCAGGTGGTACTGGAACACCACAGTGAACCACAAAGATCTGGGACCTAGGGTTAAAACAGAAGGTTGGCTGGCCTAAGGAGGAACCAGAGAATAAGGCCCTAAAACTAGACCAAAAGGCTCTGGAAGATTATTCTGGGTGGCTTATGTGCAAAGGCTGTGTAAAGGATGGCTTATTATTTATTTGTTGTCACTATTATTTAAGAAACAGTAACTTGAGATATGATAAGAGACATAGTTACTTATGAAGCATAGCTCTTACTTCCATACAATGTAAAAACTGCAGATGCATCTTCAGTAGTTTAGGTAAGTAAGATAGTCTGAGTGCTTTCTTTGATTGTTTGCTTTTTATTCTTTTGTGAGTGCTTTTATTCACAACTTCAAGGGGTTAAAAAAGCGCTATCATCTTATTACCCCTCCATACATGCACATATACACTCATATTGCACACACACATGCACACAACCACATGCACGGGGAAAGAGTTCTCCCATTATCCCCTAGACAACTGGCAAAGGCACCTGAAAATGGATGCAACATACTGAAAATGGTGTTTAAGAGGATTAATCTGGCTACAGTATGCAGGGTAGCTTAGATCTGAGGTGAGACAAGAGATCAGCAAGGAGGCTATTGCAATTATTCTAGTGAACCAAATCCAGGACCTTTCTTTTTTTCCCCCTCATTGAGTTTATTGGTACATTTTAGGTATACAGTACAATTACATTCATTATTGGGATCTTATACCTCTACATGACAAGTTTTGGTTCTCGTGTTTTCCCCTTGTCCCTGCCCTCCCTTCACCCCCTCTCTTTTTATTTTCCCTTGACATTGATAATGTAGCACAGAATTCAGCAATATCTAATACCACTGAATGTCCTTGGTTCTACCCTGTACCCCTTGTGGAAGCCCAGCTCTTCACTTCTGCAGGCCTGTCTCTATCTGAATAATACTGAACCTCTCATCTATCCCCCACCTTTGGGGTAGGGTCATATAGGAAACCCTTCAACTCTAATTGAAACCCTCCTGTTAAGATCTCTAGAAAAAAAGCACACAGGGAAGGCCAGGCAGGGGCATTGATGAAAGTAGTGAGGCCAGTATAATGGATAGTGACAGCGGCATCATTATACCATGCACTAAGCATAGTGCTTAGAACTTAATAGAAATCATCTCATTCAACCATCAAGACAAACCCATGAAGTAGGTATCACATCTCTCCCACTCCCACCTTTTATAAACAAGGCTATCAAGGCATGAAGCAACTCATGGAGGCTGTGAAATTATAAGGGGTAGTACCTCAGTACTTGCTGTACTATGACTGCTGAGTGAAGTGCCTCCCAGGGTTTCCAAGTCCTGAGATCCTGCCCTTCTCTGAATTTTTAGGTCAAAGACTGTCAATGAAAGGAAAGACTGCTGAGGATTGCTCACTTTCTGAGTTCTGCCTTCCTCATATGTATAATAAGAAAGCATGGGTTAGGCAGTTCAGATCAGTGACTTGTATTAAGCCAGTGGAATCAGGGCTACCAATGGATACTAGAGAGATGATCTCTGAATAATTTTCAGCTTGGAAATTCTAGGAGCCTTTTTTTCTCATATGTACCAGTAATTCTCACTATCTTGCCATCTCTTTGATCCAGCCTAAATCCCCACTGCACATCAGCTCATCCATTTTCATGTGAAAATTTCTCTCTCAGCAGCAGAGATGAACTTCGCATAAGCACGCATGTGTGTATGTGTGCTGGATGGAGAGGAAGTGAGAGATGTAAATGAGCAGACAGACCTGCTGAAGATTAAAAACACAAATGTGAGGTTGGAGTTGGACGTGTGACCATGGCCTGCTGCTTAGGCTGAGCTGCATTAGCACATAACCACATGAACCAGGTCCTTGCAACCCACCTGTGACAGAGCCCAGCCCCAGAACTGGGGACAGCTGAGGCTGGGGGTGGCTGGTTGGCAGAGATGTTTGGAAGGGTATGATTTCCTGATGAGTGTGTTGTTGGAATGACAGTCATTGGAATCTATAGGGTTTTCTGCTTCTAACGTGAGGAAAAATGAAAAGTGAGCATAGGGGCATTTGGGGAGGAGACTTCTGGGCATTCATTGTAGCACCTTCCACTGCTCCTGGGGTCTTGGCCAATGTCAGTGCTTGCCTTCAGTGAGATGGAGCAGCAGGAGGATAAACAGATTTGTGAGGGTGGAAGGGGAAGATGACAAGTTCAGGTCATTTCTGATCTAAAATAGTCACCACTAAGTAAATACTTTGTGTTGTCAGTCACCTATGGTAGGCACCTCATATAGATTACATCCAAGCCACAGAATATGAGGTAAATGCTGTCAGTCTCATTTCAGAGAATAAAGAGGCTCATAGAAATCAGGTAATGTTCTGCACTCCATATTTTGTAAATGGAGGAAAAGCTAAAAACACTTCAACCAGGATCAAAGTCTGACTTTCTTACTCACTGGCTATGTGACCCTGAGTAAAGAAATATTGACTCTTTGTCTCTTAGTTTCTTGATTTATAGAGTGAACACCATCCCTGCTTCTTAGGGTCCTTGTGAGGCTTCTATGGACCAAGATCTGTAAGCACTTATAGTTCCCAGTCCATTCCCAGTCCATTCTCTTTCCCTCTCCAGGCCTGTGGGATGCCAGCTGTGAGAGTGGAGACCCTCCCACACTGGGCAAGGGAGTCAAATCCAGATGCAGCTTCTTCATCTTCAACAACTACCCCCTCTTACTGGATCCTGAGGAGTGCTCATATTTCCAAGGCATTTAGAAACTGTCAAGTATTATTTAAAAAGTCATGTAGAACTAAAAGTTTTTGGTTTCGGAGTATTTCCAATATTTTTTGTCCTTCACTCAGTTTTCCAAACTGCTCAGAAAGTGCTTCCAATTGCAGCCTCTGGGCCGTAGCCCCACCTCATGCCCACTTCTGTCATTTCTTCTCATCATTTAATCTCAGTGCCACCTTGATGCTGAACTGCTGTCGTCTTACCTTCTGCAAAGGCAGGGGTTTTTCTTCAGCCCCACAGTGTTCACTCTCTGTTATGGCTTCAGGATGCTGACTGAGCTCCACTTTGACCAAATCCTCTTAGGACAATACAACTCCTTTGCCTGCTGCTTTCTCTGAATGAGCTGTGGTCCCACGGTAGTATGGCCGGTGTCACTGGCTCCTGGCATGAGCCTCTTATTTGTTTTTCCCGCTGCCCAGAAGCCTTGCATTATTGCATGTGTGGAGGTTACAGGAAGTGGGTGTGAGGAACTCGCATTGGAAATGGAGAACCCAGTCTGTCAGACTTCTCTTCCCACCTCCAAGAGGAGAGCGTGCTTCTGGTGTAGCAGAACCTCCTCCAAAATGAAGGCACTCCACAGCACAAATAATAATAAAAATTAACATTCCTTACTTTCAGGGGGTGAAATTATACCTACAATAGCCATCTTCGAGAGCCAGGAAAGAGGAGTGCAGCTAAAGAATAGAAGGAGGGGTCTGAACTTCAAATCCTAGACAAGCCTGTTGGTGATGTACACAGGCAGCTGTTTCCATTTTCAAAGCGCTATTGAACTCTGAAAACAGATTTTGCACCCTGTAATTTTCTTCTCTGTGCTCTGTTTAGTATCAAGTCATTCTCCCTTCATGACTGTGTAGCCTCTTGGGGGTGTTTGTTTGCACGATGGGATGAGCAGGCAGGGCCTTGGCTTCTCTGTCTCACCTGTCCCCTGCCTGTCTTCTGGGCAGTGTCATGATGCCATCACAGAGCACAGCAGGGAGCACATGCCAGTCCCACAGTGCACAGCCCAGGGCTTGGAGCTAGTGGTTTTCTAAAATGCCAGCTGTCCATTCTGACTTTAGGTACCAAGTTCTTAATTTAAGCCAGCAGCTGCCTTACCTGTGAAAAATCTTTTCTTTGGGTGTATCGAATAAAATTTTCCTTGGTGGAAGAAGGCTTCCTTTCCTACATGTTTCAGAAAATGTTCAGCTTTGATTCCTTAGAGGACACAAGTATACCCATTCACAGACCCTTCAAACCTAAACCAGCTGATGTCACAGCCCAACCCCACCTCCACACTCTAACATCAAGATGGATCCTGGTCATATTTATGCAGCACCATAATTCCCATCATACATCCACTTTCCATGTGCCAGCTTTCCATTACCATAACAAATACTCAACACAATCAAACAAAAAGAAAAATTTATTTATTTATTTATTTATTTTTGGTACTGGGGATCGAATTTGGGCCCTTGCTCTTGCAAGGCAGGTAGTGGAACCAATGAGCCAAATCCCCAGCCCAAGAAAAGGCTTATTATGGCTCAAAGTTTTTCAGGTTTCAGTTCATAATCTGGCAGACTCAAGTTTTCAGGCTAGGAGGCAGCTCATTACGGTAGGAGCACGTTGTGGAGCAAACTATTCACCTCAGGGTCAGGAAGCAAATGAGAGAGAAAGGAAGAGTCTGAGGTAGCAAATTTCCTTTCAGGGTACTCCTGGGAGCTGAATGTTTCCTTATAGGCTTCACTGCTTAACGCCCATCACCACCACCACACACAACAGCTCCAAACTGGAGATGAAGTTTTTACACATGGGCCTTTGGGGGGACATTCTAGATCCAAGCTACAGCACCTCCAAATCTTTATTTAACTTTCACAGCAATATGAGAGGTAGACTGGACAGGAATTTCTCTTGTTTTCGACAGATACAGCTGCCAAAGCTCAGAAGAGCTAAGCATCTTTCCCAGCCACACATCATGGGCAAATTCTTTGGAATTTTGGCTGTGACTCTTGACAACCACTCCTACTTCCTACTCTAAAATGATCAACTGATTGTATGGAGAAGCTGAAGAGTAGTGTCTTTCATTGGACTTTTCAGTTAGAGACTTGAAGCCCACAGGGGATACTGACTTAATTGGCCCTTGGGCAATGAAAATGGATAAAGATTTTTGGGAAAGGGATAAGAATGCAAGCTAGGTTGGGAGATACATGCACCAATGAGTTCAGTGCACCAATGGAAACCCCTGCTCTGGCACTTTAAGCAGAGAATAGTCTAACACACAAAACAGAGTACCTACAGCACCACTATATGGGCTGGAGAAGAGCGCCAGATAGAACATCCAGAAATGACTTTGATGCACAGAGACTACACAGAGCTTCCCTAAAAGGAAGCTACTTCCACCACTGGACCACCTGGACCCACCGAGTTTAGGAGCACCTGCCACAGCTGCAGTGGGGTTTTAAGAAGCTGCCACCAACAATGAGGCCACTGTTATTATCTTGAGGCACTCAGAGCTGGGTAGCAGATGCTAAATGCCACTGCCCAGACTCTGATGCTTCTAGTATGTTGCTAGTAGAAAACAGCAAGCAGCACAAGAAGTGGTAATAGACTGGTAGAATTAAGTTCTCATGTAGAACTGTGGATGCAAGAAAGTCTGGGAAATGTGGCTCTTTGTTGGCTCATTTCCAGTTTCTGTAGAAAGGCACATTCAGAGACGAGTGTGATGGATGCTGAACAAGCCAAACAGTTTCTACCACCATAGCCACCAGATGCCTGTTCTCCTCTTATCAATGAAATCCCACTAGACAAATGCTCTGAAAACATATGCTCAGTTCTCAAGTGGATATTTTAAAGGACTTTATTAACAAATCAACAACCCAAACTACACAGTTGTATGCCTGCGAAGTTCCACACAGACATCGCATCTCTCAAGAATCGTTGATGTATTTCATTGTAGAGTTGAGAATTTCCAACCCATGAAGCTCTCTCAGTTGAGCAGCAAACCTGTTGTAATCAGACCACAAAATCCAGGTCATAAATGCCATGCTCCAGAGCCATCTCCCTCCAGAAAGAAGCCGCTGGCAACATCATCTCTATCACTCTGGGTGGAAAGGGGAAGTGGCTGCAGCACTGGGGAGCCCAGAAGATCAAAGAGATAAGTAGTCTCATAGGGAGACTGCAAAACACTGAAAACACTCTCACTGAGAGTTGCGGGTGTGACAGGCTGATTAGATGGGACTGTGCTTCTGGGGGAGCTCTCCAGCAGGCTGCCCCTTTGAGCTCATGCTCACTAATGTGCCTTGCTTCTATGCAAGAAAGATTTTATCTGTTCCTTCCATTTGATCAGCCAGACAGAACTTGAAAGGACCTCAGATGTCATCCATGCCAGGACTTTCATTTTACGGAGAAGGAATTAGAGGCATGGAGCTGCAAGGAAGAAGCCATTCTCTACCCATCCCCAAAGACACCCCTGTCTGTGCCAGGCTCCATGTCTTGGCCACAGGCCACATTCTCCAGAAGCATGCTTAATAGGGTGTTTGAGCACATCAGAACAGGACCAGAGCAAAACAGGATCCTCAACAAAAAGAAACAACACAGAGTTCAAGCTAAGGTCTCTTGCCTCCCCTTGCTGGGTGTCCCCAGACATGCTGTTCTGCTTCTCCATTCTGTTTTCAGCAGGAAAATGTTACCCTCTCTGGACATCCTTCCACTTGCTTAGATCCAAGCATGCATGCATACATACATACATACATACATACATACATACATACATACATACATACATACATACATACATACATACATACATACATACATACATACATACATATATACAATAAGCTTGTTCTATGTCTGGAAAAAGAAAAAAAAAGACAGTATATAGTTGAATCCTAAAATTTCTCCAAAGGTCCATACACTAAAGGCTTAGTCCCCAGCCCACAACACTCTTGGGAGGTAGTGCAACCCTTGGGGCCTGTGCTGGAAGGGGATATTGGGACCTTGGCCCCTTCCTGTCTCAGTGGTGGCCACAGTGTACCTGGGCTCAACCGTGCACAGCTTCCCCAGAGCAATGCCTGCATTCAGCTGCACCGCTGTCTTCTGTGAGTCACCACCTGCTAGCTTTAGCAAGACTTGTACAAGGTCTGTCTTCAGCAGGGAAGATGCAACATTGGGCAACTCCACGCAGTTGCCAAGGCAGAGGGCAGTGTTGCCCATCAGAACCTCATCCTCTGAGCTGAGCAGCTTCAGCAGAACACTGAACTCTACAAGGAAAGAAGCAAAACAAGTTCCTTTAGATCCCTTATCAGGAGACTGGCAAGAGGCATGAGCACCGGAGGACCTAGAAGATGCTGAGCTTTCCCAGAAACCCTGGGGAGGATGTGCTCATTCATCAAGAAATACTCACTAAGTACTGTGACCCCGCTCAGCTCTTCCCAGTGTTCCACAGTAGCTCAGGTGCCCAAAACAGCACCTAGCACAACACAGTTGCTGCATGAATAAGCCCTCTGTGCTCAACTGGTCTGTCTTCCTCAACCTGTGCACACCACCACAGTGAGAGATCCCACCTGGCCCCGAGAGGGAGGCAGTATGCCAGCATCCTGTGTTTCCCCAGAAGAACGCTTTCTATCCCATCGCAGGGCCTCACTCAGTCACCATCTGAGTATCCAGAGGAAGTGTTAAGGAGGCATTAGCAGGCTGCCTCAGTGAGAACCCTTGCTGAGCAGCTACAGCTGGTGTGTTAATATCCCATATTCCCCTTGTTCACTACAGGTTGAGGGTAGTTTTTTACCTCTCCCCTTGGTGAAGGAAAAGGGCTGAAGCTAGATCAATTTAAGTACATTGCTATAGAAACAATTTCCCAGCCTTGATTCTGTTATTTCTGAACTGTCTGTCAGCTGTGCACAGCCAAAAGGTGAATGAAATGCCTCCCAACCAGAGGTGAGCTGCACCTTGTTCTGTAAACACTACAGAGGTCCCAGGGAGGTGAACAGCACTACAGCTAAATCCCTCCTCACTCCACAGCCTCACTTCCCTTTGTAGCTTCCAGGAGGATTAACCCCTGGAATGTGGGGTCCCCTTAATGAGATCATCACTTACTTCTATCCAGTTTGATTACTTCTTCCCGAGCTTCACAACAGCTGTTTGTGCAGATAGCTAGTATCTTTATGGCATAATGTGATGCAGTCTGGCCTCCTATCTAGATTGCAGAATGAAATCAGAAAAATACAATCAATGCTATGACTCTTCTTGATCAGAAGCCACAGTGAGAAGGCACAACAGTACCTTGGCTTCAGGAATTTCTGAGAGAGAATTTCAATGAGAATGTACAGGCTGCCTGGTGAGCAGGACTGTCCCCTGAAGGGAGGGATTGTCCCCTTCTCCCCTCAACACAGCTTGTACCAGCTAGAAAAGCAGGCCTGTAATGTTTATTTGACACCCCTGCAAGGCTTTGTGTGAGGGCATTTGGGAGAGGGATGCTGTAGAAGGCAGATCTACCAAAAAGGGGGTGGAAACAGGCCTCCGGTGTCATTTCACCTTCTGAGAAAGGGCTGATGTGATAAGGCTGTTAGGCAGATAGTCCTGTGGGAGAACCTCATGACCCTACATCACTGTAAGAGGTGGCAACTGTCAAATCATAACCCTTAAAAATACCCAATGTAGGATCTTTAAAATACACACCATGTGTGTGCTTGCATTTACACACAGTGCAGGTATGTATTTCTGCAATCAGCAGCCTCTGGCAGGATTACAAAAGTTGTGGGAATGACAGCTACTATGCAAGTAACAGCCTAAATTCAGACCTACCTCTCCCTGTCCCCTGGATGCTCTCTCTGACTCAGCAGTACCCTCTTACTCTTCAGAACCCACTTCCCTGCCCTGCTCAGTCCAGGGTTTGTGTCACTACACTGACACAGAGGAGCAGGCCTCACTGGGCGCACACTTTGCCGTGGGACCCAGAGATGGCAGCCTTATAACTTCCTTTGCCCTTCCAGGTGAAGCTGGTTACTTGCTTGGCTTCACTACACTCTTTTCATGGGGAAAAGTCCAATATCCTTTGGTCACAGTTTAGCTCTGCTGCTTCCTTATCTCATGAATGGAGGTACAGCCAACACTCTCCATGTAACTACACGAAGTATTGTGAGTCCAAGAACAAACTAAGTGGCCCAAGAAACTCTGCCAAGAGTCATATAAACCCCTTTGTTCAAGTTATTCCACACTGAATTTTGAAAGGTAGGCATTTTTTATAGATCTAAACAGCTATGCACTTATCTATTTAACAATCTTTTGTGGATGTTCGGAGCATTGGTCAGGTGGACAGGCAGAAAAGAATCTCTATCCTGGAAGTTTGAAATCTGGCAGGGATGACATAGTGGCACATTAACTGAGCAAAGGAGACCTTAGTTCTGTTCCCTGAATAAAACAGAAGACTCCTGGAAATTTAAGAGGTTGTAAACAGTGAAGTTATTTTACCTTCAGGAATTTAATCATTTTCTTCACCACTCCTGCTCTCACAGCCTCCTCAATGATTTTCTGAGAGGAAGAAAGTGTCCGGCTCAGAACACCAGCAGCTCTCTGAGTGAAACAGAAGAAAGATGATTAAATGTCCTTTTCAGAAATGCTGGCGACCTTCAAAAGTTAACAAGGTATTTAGTGAGGCAAAGCAGTCATCAGTATTGGAAGTGAAAGACACATCTTGATCCTTAAAAATGTAATGGCTAAGTGATACATAGTAAGCATAGTTCTTTTTAATAAGCCAGCTTGGCAGGCAATTCAAAGGCTGAAAACATTGCCCACCCCTACTCCCACCCACCCCACAGAGGCCCAGCTCCTTTCAGCTTTCCATGGGTTCAACTAGCTCAACCCAGAGAAGAAAGCCCACCCTGGGTACCTGCCAAGGCTCTGGTATCCGCAGGGCCTTCATTAGGAGATGTTACGCTTCCTGAATCAATTGTCTTTGTCTTTTAGCTTTCATTTATCTTTACAAATCTTTGTCTTTATGGTCTACTTCTGGAAAATTTCATTTACTTTATTTCCTTTCTTTTTTAAAAAAATTTTATTATTATTATTTTTTTTTGGTATTGGGGATCGAACTCAGGTCCTTGTGCCTGCAAGGCAGGCAGCAGAACTGCTAAGCTAAATCCCTAACCCTCTTTCTTTTTTTAAACAATAGCAAGCAGTTACTGTTTCATGGGTATAACTATCTTGAGTCTTCTCGGTGGCAAATGATAGTTATTTCTTCTTTCTATTTCTTGTCTATTTCTTTTGGGTGAATTTTTCTGCTTAGCATTTTCTGGTACTTTTTTATTAATTATACAGAAGAATGGGTTTCACTTTGGCAGATTTGTACAAGCACATAACACTTTGATCATTTTCATACTCCTCATTACCCTTCTTACCCCCACATAGTTTCAATTCTGGGGAAGTTTCAATGTACATATTTTGTTCATACTCATCCCTCCATCACTGGCCCTTATACCTTCTCCCCTACATCTTATTTCCTTCCTCTCGTCTAGTAATAGTCTCCCTTATACTTTCTTGCCACTGTTTGTGGATTTTACATATTAGGGAGAACATGTGACTTGTCTTTCTGAGCCTGGCTTATTTCATTCAACATGATGGTTTCCAGATGCATCCATTTTCCTGCAAGTGACAGAATTTTGTTCCTCCTTATGGCTGAATAATGCCCCACTGTTATATATACACTTTCTTTATCCATTCAACTATTCATGGACACCTAGGCTGGTTCCATAGCTTGACTATTGTGAAGTGTGTCATATTAAGCATGAGCATATAGACATCTCTGTAGTATGTTCTAATTATAATGGTAACTGTAACTTTTTAAGGAACCTCCATACTGATTTCCACTAATTTACACTCCCACCAGCAGTGTAGAAAGCTCCTTTTTCTTTGCATCCTCGCCAGTATTTATTGTGTTTTGTATTCTTGATGCTAGCTAGTCATTCTGACTGAAGATAGAATCTCAGTGTAGTTGTGATTTGCATTTCACTAATGACTAAAGATGTTGAGCATTTTTTCATATGCTTATTGGCCATCTGTACTTCTTTTGAGAAGTGTTGGTTTAATTCATTTGCTCATTTATTGATTTTATTTGATGTTGTGTTGTTTTGAGTTCTTGATACATTTTAGATGTTAATCCTCTGTCAGAAGAGTAGCAAATAAAGATTTTTCTCCCATTTTATAGGCTGTCTCTTCACTCTGTTTTTCCCTTGCTGTACAGAAACTTCTTAATTTGATGTAGTCTCATTTGTTGATTCTTGCTGTTATTTCCTGTGCTACTGAAGTTCTATTCAGGAAGTCTTTGCATATGTCTATGTTTTTCAAGCGTTTCCCTTATATTTTTTTTTAGTAATTTCAAAGCTTTAGGTCTTTGATGCATTTTGCATTGCTTTTTGTACAGAGTGAGAAACATGGATGTAGGTTCAGTCATCTACAAGTGGATATCCAGTTTTCCTGCACCATTTGTTATAGAGGCTGTCTTTCCTCCAACATATATTTTGGCTCACTGTCCAGAATCAGATGGCTATAACTACATGAGTTTGGTTCTATGTCCTCTATTATGTTCCATTGGGCTATGTATCTATTTTTGTGCCAGTACCATGTTACTTTTGTTACTATGGCTTTGTAATACAACTGAGGCAGGCAGTGGAACGACTGAGCTAAATCCCCAGCCTGTAATACAATATGAAATCAGGTATTGTGGTGCTTCTCCTTGATCTTTTATTGCTTTGGTTACTCTAGGATTTTATTTCCACATGAATTTTTGGATTGTTTTCTCTAGTTCTGTGAAGGATGTCACTAGTATTTTGATGAGTATTGTATAGAATCTGGAGATCATTTTTGATAATATGGACATTTTGACAATATTAATTTTCCCAGCCAAAGAACATGGAAGGCCTTTTCATTTTCTGGTGTCTTAATCAATTTGTTTTTTTCATTTAAAACATTTTCATTGTAGAGATCTTTCATCACCTTGGTTACATTACTCCTAGGTATTTTGTTTTATTTGAAGCTACTGTGAATGAAATTATTTTTTAGATTTTTCTCAGCTAGTCAATTATTGGTGTATAGTAAAGATGTTGATTTTATATCCTGCTACATTGCTACACTCATTTATCAACTCAAAAATTTTAACAGGGAAGGGAGGAGGGGGTGAAGGGAGGGCAGGGACAAGGGGAAAAAATTAGAACCAAGACCTGTCATGTAAAGGTACAAGATCCCAATGATGAATGTGTACTGTATACCTAAAATGTACCAATAAACTCAATGAGAGAAGAAATTTAACAGTCTTTAGTATCTTCTAAGCATAAAATAATACCATTTGCAAATAAGGATAATTTAATTTTCTTTTCTATTTGTATCCCTTTTATGGTTTTCTCTTGCCTAATTGCTGTAGCTAAAATTTCAAGAATTATGTTGAATAAGAGTGGTGAAAGCAGACATCCTTGTCTTGTTTCTGATTTGAAAGGAAATGCTTTCAGTTTTGCCCTATTCAGAATGACGTGATTTGGTTGTATATGGCTTTTACTATATTGAGGATTTATCCTAGTTTCTTTGGGGCTTTTACTGTAAAGGGGTGTTGGATTTCTTTGAAGTCTTCTTCACATTAACAGAGTATATCATCTGATTTTTTATCTTGGATATTTATCCTGGATTCAATCTACACCCTTAAGGTGGTATGTTGTATTTATTGATTTTGTGTATGTTGAACCATTCTTGTGTCTCTGGAATGAAACCAACTTGATCATAGTATATCATCTTTTTAATGTGTGGTTGAATTGGGTCTGTGAGTCTTTTATTAAGGATTTTTGCACATCAAGGATATTAGTCCATAGTTTTCTTTTTTTGTTGTGTCCTTGTCCAAATGGTACCAAGTGATTTTGTCCTCATACAACAAGCTTGGAAGCATTCTTTTCCTTTCTACTTCATGGAATAGTTTGAGGAACTCTGCAAAGGTTTGGTAAATCCAGCCATGAACCCATCTGGTCCTAGGCTTTCATTACTAAAAGACTTTTTATGATTGCTTCAATCTCATTTCTTGTTATTCTGTTTGGGTTTTCTATATCTTCTTGGTTTAGTTTTGATAGGTTATATGTGTCTAAAAATTTATACATTTCTTCTAAATTATCCAACTTATTAGAAAAAAGCCTTTCAAAGTAGTCCTTAATAATCCTCTGTATTTCAGTGGTGTCTGTTATAACATGCCCTTATTCATCTCCAGTTGTACTGATTTGGGTCTTCTCTTTCTTTTGGTTAATTTAACTAAGGGTTTATTGATCCTGTTTATCTTTTCAAAGAACCAACTCTTTATTCATCCTGTATATTGCTCTTTTACTCTCTATCTTATTCATTTCAGCTCAGATCTTATTTCTTTTCTTTTCTTGTGTGTGACTGGGATTTGTTCTTGCTTTTCTAAGACTTGGAGATGTATCATTAGGTTGTTTGAGATCTCGCTGATATTTTGATGTAGGCATTCATAGCTATAAACTTTCATATTAGAACTCCCTTTGCAGTACCTCAGAGATTCTGGTATGTTGTATTTCCATTTTCATTTGATCCTAGGAATTTTTAAGTTTCCTCCCTGGTTTTTTCAATGACTTACTGATCATTCAAAAGGGAACCATTCACTCTCCATGTGCTTCTACAGTTTCTGTATTTTATCTTGCTCTTGAGTTGTAATTTCATACCATTCTGATCTGATAAGCTGCAAGAAATTATTTCAATATTTCTGTATATGTTAAGGCTAGCTTTATGGCTTAAAATATGACCTATCTGGAGAATTTTTTGCAAGTTTCTGAGAATATGTATTCTGTATTAGATGGAATGCTCTGTGGACATCTGTTAAGTCCATTTTATCTATAGCATAATTTAATTGATGTTTCTTTGTTGATCTTTTTTGGTCTGAATGACCTATTGATGAGAGTGGAGTACTTAAGTCACCACTATTATTGTATTGGGACTTATGTGTCTCCTTATATTGAGTAGTTTTTATGAGTTAGTATAATTTTTATATCTTCTTGGTAGATTGTTCCCTTTGCCAATATATCCTGGACTTCTTTTCCTTATCTGACTAATTTTGTTTTGAAGTCTGTGTTGTCAGATATAACTAATACTGTTTACTTTTGGTTCCATTTGCATGGAATTCTCTTTACCTCCCTTTCAGGTCTTTTCTAGTGATTTGTTTTCTTTCAAGCAGCAAACAGTTGGGACTTAATTTTGTTTTATTTTTTGCATTTCTGGGCAGTGAACCCATGCTGTTCTCAGTGTGCTATTTTCATAGCCTATTTTTTAAAATTTTGAGACAGGATCTCACTAAGTTGTTCAGTAGCCATAGCTTGACTCAAACTTGAAATCTTCCTATTGCAGCCTCTCAAAATTCTGGGATTACAAATACGAACCACCACACCTGGCTGGATTTGATTTTAATCCAATTTGCTAGTCTGTGTCTTTTGATTGGAGAATTAAGACCATTTACATTCTGAGTTATTATAGAAAGGCATGCACTAATTCTTATCATTTTTGTTGTTTTTCTAATGTTTTATTCTTTCTAATTTTCAATAGCTGAACTATTCTTCCTCTTCTGTATATAGGATAGGATTCTTTGGAGTATTTTCTGCAATGCTGGCTTAGTAATGAACTTTAGTGTATGCTCATCTTGGAAGGCCTTTAATTGCTCCTTCAATTTTGAAAGATAGCTTTGCTGAACATAGTATTCTAGGTTGGCAGTTATATTCTTTCAGGATTTGAACTACATCTTTCCATGCTTTCTTGGCCTTTAGAGTTTCAGCAGAAACATCTGAAGTTATTCTGGTGAGTTTGCGTCTATCAGTGACTTGACGTTTCTCCCTTCAATAGTCTTTCTTTACTTTGTACTCTTCACACTTAAGCTATAATGTTCTTTTTTAAAATTAATTTTAATTATATTGGTACATTTAAGGGTATACAAAATAATGACATTCCTCATTGGAAATTTGCACTTTTATAAAATCCATCTTGGTTCTTATTTTTCCCCATTTCCCTACCCTCCCTTCAATGTTACATAGGAAGGTTCCTTTCTGGTCACGACCATTTGGAGGTCTAAAAGACCCCTGTACCTGAATGTCTATATCTTTTCTAAGATTTGGAAATTTTCTATCACATTAAATAGATTTTCTATACCATTATTTTGTACCTGAGCACTCTCTTCCACACTGAAAATTTTTGTTTGGTTTTTGACTCTCTTACAGTTTTTGGATGTTTTGTTCATAATTTATTATTTTATTAGTATCTGTGTATACTAATTTCTTAACTTTATCTTCAGGACATGCAATTCTGTCTTCTGCTTAGTCACATTTATTGGTTAAGCTTTCCACTGAATTTTTGATTTGACTTATTGTGCTTTATATTTCCAGAATTTCTGATTGGTTCCTCTTGAGAATCTCTAGCTCTTTGTGGAATTGCTCTTTCATATCCTGCATTGCCTTCCTTAATTTATCCAGTTGTTTGTTTGTGTACTGTTTAAAGTCATGAATCACTTTGTAAACCAGTCTTTTTAATTCTTTTTCATTTCATATACTTCAATATCTTTGCATTCAGTTACTGATAAGGTGTGGAAATTTGGAGGACTCTTGTTGCTTTTTTTTCATATTATGTTTCTATATTGAAATTTTGTATCTGGTAGGATAGATATCTCTTCTACTTTTAAAGCTTCTTAGCATACAGTTGTCTTTTTAGGACTTGATCCCAGAATCATTAAAAAATGAGACAACAAACTGCAGTAATGTTGATGACACAAAGACAAACCGTATATAAACACAGAGTAAAGAACCACTAAAAGCAACAACTATACTTGAGGGGGTGGGGAAAGGGAAAAATGGAAGAAGAAATAAAATGTTAAAAAGAAAGAAAAGAGGATGAGAAGTAGAAAATGAAATTAAAATTCAATTAAAAATTTAATTGTGAAATGGGAAGAAAAGGACTAAAGGTGTATGGAAAGTGGGAAGGGTAGGGGAAAGGTAATAAGGGAGAAGAAAAAATATGAGAAAATGAAAAAATGGAAATAAAGTGTTTGTAAATGGGGAGGGGAGGACAGGGTGAAGGGAGGGAAGGGACAAGGGGAAAAAATGAGAACCAAGACCTGTCATTTAAAGGTACAAGATCTCAATAATGAATGTAAATGTACTGTATACCTAAAATTTACCAATAAATTCAATTATTAAAAAAGACATATCATGTAAATTCCCAAGGATGAATGTCATCCTATTTTATACCTAAAATGTACCAATAAACTTAATGAAAAAAATTTAAAAAAAGAATTTGGTAAAAGTAATGGTAAAAAGCAAGAAAAGAAAACAAGAAAAAGGAAAACAGAAGAAAGAAAAGCAAAACAAGCAAAAGAGAAATGAAAAATTCCAAAAAATTCCTCCAGGCAGAGGTGTTTGGGCAGGCAGTTTCTTTCCAGAACTGTAGTATTAAAATCCACCATATATGGGGAAAAGATAGTGAGTCACAGCAGAGCCTGTGGTGTTCCACTCTCACATTTTGCTATGTGAATGCTGAGTCCTGCTTTGGCCTTTTTTTTACTGGGCAGGAACAGTCAATGGTATGTTGTCTACCTCAGGGCTGTAGTCATTCCAGAGGCTTTTAGTGTTTGTTTGTGCCCTTCTGTGCACTCTGAGCCACGGCTATCACTGACTACTATACCTCTCCTCCAGAGGTCCCCTGCTCCATCGGTCCCTCTGCCATACACTCAGGGATGTGGCAAATGTCCAAGCAAAAGCGTATCACTGACCACGTTGGTAGGTGGGGAAAGTAAATAGGTCACTAAGTTCTGTACTGGGAAGAGGCATTGAGGAAAGCCAAGCAGTGTACTGGACTCAATCCCAGTACTTTCAGACACAGCTCCCTCAGACCACTCTGTCCTCTGCAGCCTGAATTCACAGCAGCATGAAGATCTCAGCAAGTCTGTGACTAGTCCTCTGCCTCTCTGAACTGTCTCCTAAGGTCATATGACATCCAGTCACTATTGTAATGTGACCCCAGAGACCTTGAAGTATAATTGTTCTGAACTTCTGATTTCTTGGAGCATCTTAGTAATAAACAATAAACCCCTTCTAAAAAAAGGTTCCTCATTATTAGTACTTCTAAATATGGTGAGCACCACAATGGATTTATTCTCCAAAGCTAGCCTGCCATGTGGAAGGAGTTGGTTTCAGGGTAAATCCCACACTGTACTTTTGCTTTAAATAACTGTTTTTTTTCCACCCACCACGGCTAGCATTGCTGATCGTTTGTCACAGGGGCTGGCCTTCTTTGGATTTACCTTATGCTTGTGGAATCAGATCTTCCTCTCCAGGAGAAGCATGTTCTAGATTGCTTTGTTCTTTGGGGTTGACTTCTGTTTCTCCATGATTTTTTTTCCTGTTGGTCCTTTCTTGAACCCCGAAGCTCTTCTTCTCTTTCTTCTTGCTAAGTAGCTGCTTTCCACATGTCTCAATTTTAGGTCACAGAGAAGCTGTGGCTTGTTGCCAGCTTCTATTCTGCCATTTTTGTTCTCTTTTTATCTCTCTTTTCTACCTATGTGTGTCACTGTCCTATGTTTCCTGAAATGTCCTATGACCTTTAGCTGCTCAATCTTCACCTTTGAGAAAAAAAGAAAGACAGATATGCTTGTCATTGTGTCCTTTGAGAAGTTTGTTTTGAAGTGCCAGGTGGAGAGGTGGTACCTACAAATACTAGACAGCAAAGTTTTTTTTCTTCTCTAAGCTTTGAATTTATTTATGCAGTGATTCCTATACTATTTGTTATAGTCCTAAAGAAAGAAAAAGAGAAGGAAAAAATGGAAAAGATAAAGAAAAAATGCTCTGATTTTATGCTTAGAGACAGACTGTCAAATGCAGCCCTCCACTTCATAATTGTGTTCTCTGTTGTCCCTAAGGTTGTGAACTGTCAATCCTCTCCAGGGTACAGGAGGAAAATGTACCATCAAACAGCCAAGTCCCCTCTGTTCTCTGTGTGAGGGCCTCAGCCCTGTCTTATTTCCACTCTTGCAATTTTCTCCATCTTGTAGAAATGCATTATAATTACTGATTCATGGTGGGGGGGTCTCTTGCCTATACATTTTGTCAATGTGGACTTTTCATTTCCCAATGCCTTTAATTTCATTTTACTAAGATTTCCACAAAGAGAAGGGATAAACCTGTGCATTATCATATTATCAATCTTATTGCCCTAACCAGCTTCATACACATCTTACAATTCTGCTACAGTTGACACTACAGATCCCTTTGCAGGCCCAAGGCAATGGAGTGTCTGACCCAAGGACCACACTCCCATGGTGAATGTGCTGTTCTTTTAAGCAAGGTAGCCAGTATCCAACAGGAGCACACATGGCTGCCTGGTCCAAGAGGTTCCCGTAAGTGCTGCAGACCCAGCTTTAGGTCTGCACTACCCACAGCAGCCTTACACACCTGAGAAGAGTGGTGCTTACCATGGTGAAAGGCACAAGCATCTTCTAAGGATCTGATGAATCAATAATGCCCCATCATAAAAATGCACCTTCTCTTAGAATTTTTTTGGGGGTGGTACCGGGGGTCAAACTCAGGACCTCGTACTTGCAAGGCAGGCAGCACCACTGAACTAAATCCCAGGCCCTTCACTTGGAATTTTTGACAAAATTACACAACCTTTACACTATAATGTTGATTGGGAGTGCTGGCCTTGAAAAGTATACTGAATTGGATATGACTTTGATTGTTTTCTATAGGTTTTAGACCCCGGAGATGATTAGTAATGTGAGGGAAGAAGACACAGCTCAGTATGATGACAAATAGCCTCTTAAATCATATTATTGGTCATCTCTTGATGCACTGTGCTAAGTTTTTTTACCCAACAAAAGTTTTTTTCTGTTCCCTGTGTGAATTGTTGGCTTTTTTCTCAGTTTGCTTCAGTCTTAGAAGCAAAATGAAGAAAACCATTCCTGTATAAATCTCCAAAGAGGCCAAAACTTGTATGCATAAACCACCTCCAAGATCACTGGCCTTAAAACATGGTCCTAGCTTTTTTGATGATAGAAAGGAGGGAGAGTAGATACAATCTTTTGTCTTGTCCAATCTTTAAAAGATCTCTTCAAATGGAACAAATCAGGAAAATTACACTGTGTTTGCTGGTCAGATTCCAGGAAATACAGAAAAGAGATTCTGAATGGGTTCCTGGACTCTATGAAGTCCACAGATGGGCCCTGGGGAAAGGTCACCAAATTCCCCAAATTGTAAGCAAAATCCGGTGTTTATGTGCTTGTGGGCATCATACTGAGGCATATCTTCCCACCATACCTTCAAGAGTCAACAGATTATCAAAGGTAGCAACTGCCAAAAGGTTAAGATCCACCTACATTAAAATGAAACTAGAACAGAAACAAAGACGCTGATTCTGGATGTCTCTGAGAAACTTACAGTTAGGATGCCCCCATCTTGGCTGTTTAGTAAAGAGAGGCACCTTCTGCTCAGCTCCACAGCCCACACCTACAACCACCAGGAAAAGGGAGGAGAGTTTAATGTCCTGAGACTGAAATGCTCTGTGGAGTTTCTTCTGCGCAACCAGACAGAACTACCCACTCCCTCCTGCCACATTCTGTCCAGATTTTCTCCACAAACCTTCTGTTATTGGTCCTATGCTGTTCCATCTTTATCTCCCCCTAACTCTGGCAGTACTTTCACAGTAGGGGCCATATTTTATTTGACTTTCTAAATACAGCCTCTGGTGCTATGCTCAGCATACCCTGGACAAACAGGCAACTTTCTGAAGTAATATATGACTGATTTATCTTGTCCTTACAGAGGCAAGTGACAGAGTGTCCTTCCAGCCCTTTCCATCCCCACTGCTGGTGCCCAAACCCATATGCTGTGTATAGTTCTATGCAGCAGGATGTGTTCAGGTTGTTCCAGGGCAATATGGAGGGAAGACAAGAGTGCCCATACCTCTGAGGCAAAGGGGACCTGAAGACATAGGTTCATCACGAGTCCCAGGACTGTGTAAGTGACCTCTCTGTATAGGTCCATGTTGTCCTCGCACTTGGCCTTGGAAACAAAACAAAACAATCAATGACCTTGCTGCCTTGCAGCTTTCATGGGCATCTCGTCCCTTGGACAAGGACCTCAGAGATACCCACATTCCCTAAATTTTCAATGTCATGGACTTGAGTGTTGGTAGAAGTGCAGACGAGTTCCATGAGTCAGTGTTTATCTGGGAGATGTAAAAGAAATCCCTGGGATCTTTGTCAAATTTCTCTGCATCTTCCTAGCCCCAGGTGAGCTTCTGAAATGGACAATCAGGGAAGCTCCACCAGAAAATCCCAAAAATCCCACAAGGGTGCGAAAGACTTGGTGTGGAGGCTCTTTTAGTCCTGCAGCTCATAAAAATCTATGGTTTCAGATGGATAACCCACTAGCTTCAGCACTCTAAGAAACAGAATTTTTGGAAAAGCCAGATATTTAAGAAGAAGTCAATGCCCCCAAAGAGGATAAAAGACTAAATTTGAGTAGAAAATCTAAAAATACCAGGAGGCCCAAACAGGCATCCCTAAATTCTTCACAGGATGACATGTGTCTTCGAGCAGCAGCCTCAGCACTGAGATTTCCTATGATGACAATACACCTGCAGAGCGCTGAGGAGTTGGTTACCATCGGATCTCTCTTCTAAAGTGAATGAAAAGCAAACAAAGCCTCAGAGAGCAAGTAAATAATTCCAGCACAGTCTCTAAGAGTGGTCCTCACTCACCAGAAGATTGGGAACCACTGGACTTAATGTCACTCAGAGACATCAATGGGGTCCCACCGGTAACAGGACAGAAGAACATAGGGGCAGACCCAACAGGGCTTTGGCTCCTCCACCAACCAGCTAGGAGGCCTGTGTAAGCCCTTCCCTTCTGAGAGCCCCCATTTTCACAGCTATGAAATTTTGGGATGTGGTTATGCTCCCTAAGTGCCCCTGAAATGTCTATGGCTCACTAGGCACAGCGTGGTCTCCAGAAGAACCCTTACTATCCTCTGTCCCATCAGTAACAGCTGTTATACTTGTCCTCCCAATGGGGGACTTTGTATCAGGAGGGGACTGATGGAGACTGACCAACTCTCCCCTTTTTACCTAAGATACAGTTCACACACAGTTTTTTTCCATGTAACCAGACCCATCCATGTACTACCACCTCCACCTGTCCTGTCTGCAGCCATTTCAGTAACTGAGAATCATGTAAATTTCCAGCTATGAATAAATGATTTAATTAACCAGAGAAAAAACTGAGAGTTCAGTGTTTGAAACGATGTTTAAACAACTTTGTTCAAGCTCCATGCATGGAGGACAGAAATGAGTATGTGCTCACCAGTACACCTGTGAGTGCAGGGAGAGCACCTGGAAGGTTGGCCCGAAACCAGACTTGGAATCTGTCAAGAAAATGTCAGCCAGGATTATTTTTACATAGCACAAGTGATAATGTAATACAGTATCTTGGGTAATGTAGCAAACAGTTATGAACTGGGCCTGTGTGATTTACAGTAGGCATGGACAATTCATCTGACCTCTCTTCTGTCCAAAGTATATAATGTGGCTTAATTTTCCCAAGTCTAGAGAATAGTTTTTAATGTTAAATGACAGATCTCAGATGGCATCTGTCTTACAGCAGAAGCTGCTAGAATCCTTAGTCCTCTTCTAAGCTGACTTTGCACCCCGCTCCCTTGCTGATTCTATACATCATGTGTGTGCTGTGCGAGGACCCAGCTGTACACATCTGCACATGACAGAGCAGCAGTCTACACTTCCTCCCCATGCCAGCTGGCTGCCTGTCTGCAAGCAAAGGCAGTTCTCCATTACATGACTGTTTCCAGGCAAGCCCCTTAAAGTTCGTAAGGAAATTTTTAAAAAAGATAAGATTTTTTAAAAAAATCTTAAGAATTAAAAAAAAATAAGGCCATTACTGTCTTCCCCAGCAGCTAAGCAAAACTAAAGCACAAAACCAGGGCAGGAAGAAAGTCACCCCCATAATGACACTGGCAAACCAAGGCTACATTTCACCGCTCATCCTCATTTGTTCATTCACCAAAATTTTACTAGGCACTGACTAAGAAGGGGAGTTTCCCTGACACATAATAGCTGTGCTGACTGTGAAAGGCACTGTTTTAAGTGGTCATTACGCAGTATCTGCCAGGGATTGGTTTCAGGAATCCCCTAGGTATCAAAATCTCTAAATGCTCAGTTCCCTTAGCGATAATGCCATAGTCTTTTTTTTTTTTTTTTTTGGTACCGGGGATTGAACTCGGGTCCTTGTGCTTTCAAGGCAGGTGGCGGAACCACTGTGCTAAATCACCAGCCCTTTTCTCACTATTTTTGATCTGTGGTTGACTGAATATGCAGATGCGAAGACCATAGATATAAAGAGCCAACTGCATATCACTGCTCCCAGACCCAAAGAGGACAGGGTCAACCTCCACTCAGGTCTGAGATAGAAATGGATGATCACAGCCTTCTCGTAGGCAACCACCCTCTACCTCTGAATGCTTTGTTGTTCAGTCAACACTTGACCTAGTATCTCTGCACACTGCACATTTAAAAAAATCAGACAACTCAATATGGGGGAAGAATTGTCAATTTCTAAAAGTAAAAATCACTACCTTTCTTCCAGAGCCAAGTCTGTGAGCAGTCCAATGGCGGTACTGGCCTTGTTGTCTGAGAAGTCAAGAAATGATAGCAGTGCTTCCAGCAATCTGCAGAAAACCATAAAAACCTGAGAGTGGGTTGTCTCGCAACTACCTGTATCCCCAAACAAGAACTCTGCAAGGAGTCCAGGAAGAAGTCAGCACCCAGGTGAGAGAAATTGAAAGGGTGGCCTAGATGCCTTCCTGGAAGCCTGAGCTCCTTGCCCACCCCAAAGAGATAGACACTGATCTTTTGGAATGGCTCCAACTATTTAATGTGAATTCACTGGTGGTGAAACAGTTTTACCCAAAGTTTAGTGTTTACTGATTATTAGGCACCAGCTTGGAAGGAGTCTCAGTGCTCTGGCCCCATCAAGTTCATTAAGTTAGAAGACATCTAAATGGAACACTTACTAATCTGCTGATGACTGAAGTGGGTGGGCCCCATAATAAAGTGGGTGATAGAATAAAGATTTAACAAGATCTTGACAGGCTGCTAAATGTATCATATAAAATTTAATAGTGTTACACTCATAGTCCTCCACTAAGAGCTGAAAATTCTGGGCCAGTAATAGAACTCAAAAATCTGCTTTTGAACTGGTTCAAAAAGATTTTAAGAGTTTTCAGACACTGCAAACAGTCTGGGCCAACAGTCTGGTGTAGCTGCCAAAAAAAAAGTAAATGCAATCTCAGGCTGCCCAAATGAATTTACTGGCACCAGACAGTGGAAGGAAGAGTAATGTGTCTATCCAGTATTAAGAATCTACATTGTGCTGAGTACTGTGTTCAGTACTGGCTCCAGGGAGCTTCCAGGACAGTATGGGGACAGGACAAAGCATGTCAGGTAGAACCCCCTGAGATGCTCTCAGTCCATGAGTATCTTTGGGGACTGCTGGAAGCTCCTTATAGTTAGTTCTTAGGGTGTGAGGGAATGACAGCGAGTAGAAAGACAAGGGAGCTAGACAGTGCCCATGTCATGGTGGGCACTTCTACAGCCTGCCAGTAACCCTAGAGGTCCATGTCTTTCAAAGTGTAGTTGGTAGATGACTTGTGTGGTGGTGATGGAGGTGGACATGGATTTCTGAGCTTCTGTCTGTGTTGAAAAGGGAGGAGGTTGTATTTTAAGCACATTCTTGGGTGACTACACTGTATCTCAGGAATTGGAGAAGTAGTGTTGGACAAAAGAGAGTTGTTTCAGCATTTGAAGTAGAGAAACAATGAGACAGATGTCATTTTAGAAAAATCGTTTTGCTGGGCAAAGACCAATTTATAGCAGGTAGGATAGGAGGAATCCAACCAGGGGAGTACTGTGATTGTCCAGACAACAAAGGTTAAGGGGATGAACTGCAGCAGAGGCAGCATAAGAGCTACTATCAAAAAGGAGGCAATCAAAACCGTGAAGAAATAACTAGAACTGGAAGAGGAGAACTGAAGGAAATGATCAAGGAGACACTAAGGAACAAGAACTGACAACCTACTATCTTGTGGAGGTGATAAGGGCAATCAAGGTTATCTCCAGGATCTGGCATAAGTAACCTTCCTCTGCAAAGACAGGAAATTCAGGTAGAGGTCTGATTTGAAGAACCACATTTTGATTTGTTAGTTTATGATACTCATGAATGTTGAGATAGAGATGTCCAGTGGTAGAAGAGTATTGCTATCTAGCATTCAAGAGAGAGACTCAGACTCTGTCTTTTAAAGCCACAGATGAGAAGAGGGTCAAGGGTAGGATCCTAGAGTCTCTGATTTGGAATACTGGCAGCATAAGAGGATTAGTGAAGGAATCCAAGAGGAAAAAGCCAGGAGAGAGAAAGAATTCATGTGGGCAGTCTACAAACATGTAGAGTTTCAAGAAGCGTAGTGGTAAAGAGGACCAAAAGCCACAGGGCAATCAAGTGAGAGACAGAAAAGAGCACAATGGACTGGTTATTTGGGAGTGTGGTATCTGGTTACCCACTTCCAGAGTACCGGGTCTGCTTAGCAACTGGTTCTAGGAGGGACCAGAAGATAAATCACCTAAGAATGGCCAAGGGAACAAGAATGTTTAACCTGGAAAAGACTGGCGTTTCAGGTTCTAAAACACTAGAATATGGAAGGATTTGTTGCATTCTATAGGTCTTCAATCATCTGGACCATAATGCTGTGGGGCAGAAAGTCTGTGTTCAGTGTAAAGAGATGACTGCCATCAATCAATACTGCTCCAGATGTGGAAGGCTGCCTTGGGAGGTAAGCTCTATATCCTCACTAGCTGGGGAAAGATCCCTTAGCCTATGAGATGCTTTAGTGTCCATCCCAAATCAGAGACAAATACAATGAAAACATTGGCTACTCTTCAGAGAGGTGCATACACAGGCTATGCTAGGATGACACAAAGAGGGCCCATCTGTGCTGGGTGGGCTGGACTGGATAGTCTCCAAAGTTCATGTAATTCCAAGCTTCTGCAAAGCCTGACTTTCTCAGGATTTTCTAGTATTCTTAATGTCAGAAATAATTTGTTTTAGAGTTAGTTCAGATTCTCCCTCTATCGATTTAAGTCTGTCTTCTTGGCCTGGAAAGTGAATGCTCATGGACCCAAACAGCACAGAGAGTAAGACTACAGCTGAGATCATCTTGGCTTTGTCTTGGTGAGCATAAGCAAGTAGGCTCTCTCACAATATGAAAAAATATTCATCCAAAGCACACATATTACCCAAAAAGGACTGTGTGTCCCTTTTTAGCTCCTCTTGCTTTCTCTTACTCAGAGGCAGATTTTAGACTATATCAACAAGCAGCTGTCCCTGTGTGTGCCTGCAGGTCAAAGAATGGTTTCATATAACCAATAAATACACTGCTGTCTCAGTTTAGGACCCAGAACAATATACACTGAAGAGAAAAAATGATTATAAAATATTGTTGAGTCTATACTGGACTCAATGGCAAGCCTCATAGTGGTAGTTTTTGTTGCCAGAGACTGTTCTGGCTAACTCCACGGACATTCCTACTCCTTTCCATTCTGCCTGACTGTACTTTAGAAGCTGGGACCATTTTCCCCATAAAGAGTGGCATGTGACACAATTCCATTCAAAGAGACATACACAGTTGCTTTTCTTAATAAAAATGGATGGATCCACTGGTGCTGACCTATCTTAAATAGAGATGTGCAACTTGGTGCTATAGCAAGTGGGGAGGTGTGACAATGAGGGGAAGGGTATGAGAAGGGCAAAGATCTTGATCTTGACATTTTTAAGCCACAGATTACTGTTTCGTTTTTTCTTGTTACGTGAGAAAAGCAAGCCAGGCTCTATTTTGCTTAAGGTTCTTTTGGTCCACCATTCAAATTTGTGTGTGTGTGCGTGTGCATGTGTGTGTGCATGTGGTGCCGGAGATCGAACTCAGAACCTTGTGCTTGAGAGGCAGATAGCGGAACCAACTAATCAAATTTTAACTGACATGGACATCATCCCTCTTAAACCATGAGACACTGGGGCATCAAGGCTAAGTAGCTTTACCAGGTCACATAAGTAGCAAGAGACATGCAGAGGAGTGAAGCTGAGGACATCCTGAGTCTAATAACCTAATGCTTTCTACAAAGTGACACTGGCCCTTGGCTGCTTCTTGCTAGCACAATTCATTCCTTCAACCTCTCATACGAGGGCAACATTTTGGGAGGAATGTGATCTGCATGCCTTGGTAGGAGTCATGGGACTGGATATGGCCCTATCCTGCTACAACCACCTCATTTCATTACAGAGAATCCATTACACCCCCTTCCAGTTTGAAGATGGGCATTATCAAGACTAGTGGGCACAAAAGTTATTAGCTGAAGTTTCTCTTACTGTCCAAAGACAGTAGGCAGTACTATGTGAGGTGATCATAAACCCCATTCTTCATGACACTAGAAACATTCGAATTGAAACTTAAGCAATTCAAAGACAGCTTGAGGGGAAAACACTTATGATAACTACAGCTAAATTTACTCAGAGACAAAAATTCAATCAACCCCCCACACACACATGATGAAGATACTGAGGAAATGACTGCAGAGTCATTAGAAAAGTGATGTGCTTTTGGAAGATTTAACTCTTCTAATAATACGTCTTCCTAGATAATAGAGCTTTAGCAGGATGACAAGGCCTATGTTGGCAGCTGTTGGGGCTGGGATTAGGCAGATTAGAGAAACAAAGAGGGCCATAGCTGAGGCCCAATGATCACTCTGTCTTAGCACACACTGAATCTCCTCACTTGTTAAACATCAAGTATCCCCAGACTCATGTTTTGGGGGCTTGATCCCCAATACCGCAATGTTCAGAAGTGGGGCCTAGAGAGGTGACAAAATCATAAGTGTGCCAATCTCATTAATAAGTTAACCCAGGCCAGGGATTTAGCTCAGTGGTTCTGCTGCCTGCCTTGCAAGTGCAAGGTCCCAAGTTCAATCCCTAGTACCAAAAATAAAGTTAACCCACTGATGAGTTCATAGCTGAATAAGGTATTAGCAGGTAGGACCCAGTTAGAGGAAGTAGATCAGTAGGCCACACCTTTACATATACCTTATCCCAGGTCCTTTCCTCTCTCTCTTTGGCTGTTTCCCCTTCTATCTTCTTCCTCACTGCCATGAGATGAGCAACTTTCCTCTGTCACACCCTTCCACCATGATGTCTCTGCCTTGCCACAGGCTGACATCAGTGACGCCAGAACACCATGCACCAAAACCTCTGAAGCCATGAGCCAAAGCAAACCTTTCTCTAAGCAGATTTGCTCAGGTATTTGGTCACAGTGATTTTCATCTAACCAACACCAAAATTAACAAGTGGGAGGACCCAACTTGGTTTAAGAAAGATCCTACAGGGCTGCTGGTGTGACTCCTTCTCTTGTTGTGAACAGAGAGTAGGAGCTACATGCCAAGCAACACACAGCAGGGAGATAGCTAGGTGAGATCCTCTCCTTCCTTGATGCAGCTTCTCATGTCTCATCTGTGAAATGGGGTAATAACTCCACAAGATGAGGGGAGGTAAAACAGAGTTACAGAGAGCAAAGTTGTTTGTAGGTTGTGTCTGAAATATTTATAAAGCAGGCTGTAATAACTGCTACTATTCCATTTGGATGAATTACATGCAAGCATTCTGATCTCAAAAATGGCAATTTCATTATGTTCAAATCATCAGAGACATGAGGAGGGAAATGGGCCAGTCTGAAATTGGAAGATAAATACAATGAAAATAAAATAAATCAGTAAACTAAGAAAACAAATGAAATAAAAATAAACTGAAAAGAAAATGGGCAGAATCACTGTGGTGTGGGTAATGCTTTAGGCAGTCTCCTTTAGAGAGAGGAGTACTATATTGCTGTGTGCTTCAGCCTTGGAAAGATCTCCACACAGTAGCATTCACTTATTAATTTATACTCTACTTTGTTGCAGAAAGCGTTTAAGGATATGCAAAATCAGGTAGATATTGCTTCAAGCAGGAATGAAAGAGGCAACAAAAGGGCAGGAATAAGATGGAGCCAGGCCTACGGTTAAAAGGATAGAAACAAGTGACCTATTTCAAGGCTGGGTTTCACATCTGGCTACAGAAGTTCTGCCCAGACACTGCCTACCGTATTTGTGGGACAGAACGGGGCCAGCATGCAAAAGTGAAACGACCCACGCTGCTGAGTTCACACAGGAGCTGATCCTGCAGGGCCTTTCAAAGGCTCTCTCTGCTCTTGATCCCTCAGAAAGTGATGACCCAAGATGTTGCAAGAAACACCCTTCCAGCGGAGCCTTACCGGGTCATATCAAGGTGGCTGATGACCAGGCTCCGTCCATGCTCAGTCTGGGTGACCTGCAGCAGCAGGGATAAGCTCTGCTGCTGGATGGCCATGACTTTGGAGGTCAAGAGGGAGGGCAGCAGCCTCGCCGTGTTGGGGTGCAGCACAAGCAGACGCTGGTTTTCCTCTGCAAAACACAGTTGTCACCTGCCTTGTGCAGGCTGCAATGCAGTCCAACCAGTTCTGTCTTCCACCAACTCTTCTCTACTGGCTTGAGAAGCAGGATATGACATGCAAGAGCAGGACCTTAGAGCCAGACTGCCGGTCTGACTGAGCAGGGGAGTGGCCTCGGCCAGCTATTAGCTCCTGTGCCCTCGGTTTCCTTGTCAATAAAATGAGGATGATAATCCATCCACTAGAGTTGGTAGGAGGATTCCAAAGGTAAATATGTGATCCTGCCAGACAGGGCCTGGTACAAAGAGATTGACTATAATGTTACAACTGTCAAAAGGCTCACTGGTCTGTAATATCTGGAAATGGGAGTAAAGGGAAAGAAATCAGCTTAAGTGTAATGCATCATTAGGCCATCAGTCCTCAAATAATGGCCAGTATGCTCATCTGAATTTTTCTAGGAAACTAGAGTGTCGCATGAGAACATTCATTAATAAATCATGTCCTCCTTTCTATGAGCTACTTCCAGGGCAGTAGCATTGGATTTACCCTTTTTCACCTGCTTCACATTCTGAGCAGGTACTTGAGAGCAGGGGTACATAACTGAGCACTGAAATCAAGCAGAGCAAGCTAGATCTTGTGGGAAGGGGACCCGTCACCCAGGTCTCACTATCTATACACTATCTTTCTCCCCATCTATACATTGCAGAGTGGTCAAGCAGAGGACATGTACCTAGCTCTTCCAGTCCTAAAAGAGTCAAGACACAGGACTGCAGGATCTGACGTGGAGTCCATGCATATAACTACATTTTCATTCAAACAGCATATCTCAATTATATACTTCCCTACAATTACCAGTGATCATGTCAAATGGGATCTACAGATCTTCCAAATGAAAAGGATTTTCTCCATTTTAGTTTACCTATTTTTTTTATACTGGAAAAGTACCCTGTCGTAAATAATTCAAACAACACAGAAGCAGTACCAAGCAGTACTCTGCTGCCTCCTCTACGTAGAGCCAGTCCCTGAGGAGCTACTTTACTCACCCCACTGTTAAGAATAATGTTAAAAACACTATACTTCCTACTCTGTGACTGGCTTCTCTCTTCCACTCAGAAATATGTCATCAACATATTTTCATGTTCCTAAATTATTCCTTTGTCCTCTTTAAAAGCTGCTTTGTATTTACTGAGCTAGATATATCAAAGATTTCATGGGACCGAGATAAAGTATATGTATCCCAGGTTGTATCTGACCATCTTTTTCAAATATTTAAAAATATGTAACTCTAAGTTCACAGGAAACAAAGTCAATGGGTGATTGTGTCAGGTTCACAAACAGTGAAGAGGCCAGCACCAAGTCCTGTCTTCCTCCCGTCTACAGGAGGCTTTGTACACGGTCCTGTTGGTCCTGTTCAGAAGAGCAAGGCACCCCCATGATGATTCTGTGCAGTGACCCTTCAGGAAATAAGCCTGCTGATTGTCCAGTTTTCCAGAGTTTATTTTCTGAGATTCATGCTTCTCCCACTCTACTAAATAAAAACAATTGCGTTGCCCTCAACATTTTATAGTACACAAACTGCACTGGTAGGCTCTGTTACTGGCTTCTCAATTAGCACTGTGGAGAGGAAACACATCTGTCATTATTCCTATTTTTAGTGTTTCACATCAAACCTTTTTCTATGAAACAAACTTTTTTAAAATAAGGGAAATACTTAAAATATTTATTTATACTGAAGTCACAAAGATGCATAAGAAAGATTATGCAAGAGCTTAATGAACTCCAGAAGATGCTACCATGAAAAAAGTTAAGAGTTGACACGGAAAATAAAACTCCCTACAGCATTTCACTGTGTCAGTATCAGATGCAATTAGTGTCTCAAAATGCTGGCTGGCTGACAATCCTACAGCTCAAGATGCTGAAATGGGTGCTGTGTTCAACAAAGAGTTTTAGGCAGATAGGAAATGAAACACTCTGTCCACCCCATTTCCAGCACATGAGCAGACACCATGAGTCTGCAGAGAGAAGGCCATGTGAGAGATCACGTCATGCTACAGCCACCTTGCCTACAATCTACGGGCTGCTCTCCAGCCACCCAAGGCCCAGGAGGAGACATAACTGTAATGTAGACCTTGTTCTGAGCCATGTGCTTCTTGGAGGGAGGGAGGGGTGTGTGTGTGTGTGTGTGTGTGTGTGTGTGTGTGTGTGTAGAACCAACTCTCTAGGACTTGGCTTTGAGGGGAACAATCATGCTCAACTGTGCAGCTGAAGCATCTACAGCTCATTACTGGTGATTAACAGTCAGTGTAGGCTTACCATTCTCACTGCAAACTGCTTGCCAAAGCTTAAGAACAGTCACACAGACTGTCTCTTCAATCATATCTTTTTCTGCCATGGAAAGGCACCTACAACGGACACAGAGAACAATGGGAAGTCTGAAGATAAGTCTTGATTTTCTTTTCACTGGGTTTTATTTCATACCTTGATCACCAAATACCAATTTTTGAAAGTAATTTACAAGTCAGAATTATAAGGCATCAGGATCAAAGGACTAGCAATCACAAAGCCAAGAGTACAGGTTAAGTTCACAGGCTGGAGGGAGCACAGTGAAGGTTGCCCAAAGGGCGGGCAGTAAGCTGGGAATGATAGCAATGGCTAGACATTCAAATATATACTGGCAACTCTAACCTACATCAGAGTTCTAAGCCTTGGGAATCATACCAGGTACATAACTGAAATATAAAATAAAATAGAAGTAAGTTTAATAAACCACCTCCTACTACACATATATTTCTTCAGATGAAATTCTAAGTGAGAGTAGCCAGAACCCAGGCAATTCTACTTCCGCATAGGACAAACAAATTTCAAAAGAAAAAGAACAAACAGAAATCCTGCAAAAACTGGTGGGAAACCATTACTTCCCAGACTCTGAAGAGCTTGGAGGAGCCTGGGACAAGCTGCTGTTTCTCTGTCTGCACATGACTCGAACAACCCAAAGCGTCAAGCTCAAGGGAATTCATATGATGGCACTGTGGTCCTGGAGGGGCCACCTCCGCTGACTGTGGGACTAGGATGCGGTAATGCGGTAAATCACTGCTTATGCAACCAGCATCTGGCTTCATAAGAAATGAGTGTCCTTCCTTGCCTTGACATGAGCTGTCTTCCCACACATTCCTACCTTCTTATGACCTCGTTGTTACTGATGATGCTGAATCCATTGTGGGTTCTGAATAAAGTTTGTTCTGTGCCTAAAATAAATTTACAGGAGACCACGTCAGGTTCATGAACTGCCTGGCAGGTGTCAAGCTGAAGCTCAGTCAGCCGATTGAGAACTCCAATATGGAAGGTCAAGGTCTCTAATTTAAAGTTTGGTGGAAACAAACATCTTTACATTCTGAAAACCACAAGTGTCACCAGTCACTCAGTGCTTCAGTTAGAGGGATTATTTAGAGAAGGAGAGTGGAGCTGGGGTAGCCTTGGAGTTAGTGGCACATGCGTCTCTTTGCAGTCTTTAGGAATTGCTTAACCTCTGGAAAACATTGACGTTCACATCTCTTCTGAAATATTTATTTTGAAGCTGTTTCCAGGTAATTTCCAAAAACTGCTGGAGGGAATATTTGAGCACCCTGGATGTGTACCAAAGAGAAGTCAGAGGCCCCTTCTATTTGTACAAACAACATTCTGTCACTGAGCAGCAAAAACTGCTTAAGCCCTGGCATCAATGTTCACAAGAATGGGTGAAAGGGAAATTGTATGGTTCTCATTAGGAGAAGCAGAGCTGATGTTTCCTCAGAAACTATTTTCACATTCTAAACAACCATGATGGGTAACTTGGATGAATCTTACAGTTTATCCTGCAAAATTCTACCTTCCATTTCTCTATAAGGGAGCATGCAGAATGTTTGGGGTGAACTTGGGGATGTAGGGAGTATGTGTGGGATGTGTGGAGCATGGGTGAGGACTGTGTATTTAGAATATGTACACTGAAAAAAAAATTAAGCCACAGAATTTTAAAGGGCCGGGGATTTAGCTCAGTGGTTCCGCTGCCTGCCTCGCAAGTGCAAGGACCCGAGTTTGATCCCTGGTACCAAAAAATAAAAAAAAAAAGCCATAGAATATGTACACTGATATAAATATGGTGTGTGCACTGTATGTGAGGTATGGAGTGTGTGTGTGTGTGTGTGTGTGTGTGTGTGTGATATATTTGACAGGTGAGTAAATGCTCTCCATGTGAATGTGTGGTATATATAATAAGGCAGCTGATCAAAAATATCACATCTGTTTAAATTTTAAAAAGTGTATTTACAATAAAAAATATATTGCCATTAAGCCTCCTCAGAATACTCCCCCTCCCTTCAAACATGTTTATCTCATTGTTCTTCCCAATTTCTGAAACAGTTCTGGAAATCCTCTTTCATTGGTGCCTTCACAAAGTATGATAAAAAAATATGGTCAATGTTGGGCCGGGGATTTACCTCAGTGGTTCCACTGCCTGCCTTGCAAGCACAAGATCTCAAGTTCGATGCCAAAAAAAAAGGTCAATGTCACTGCTGAATGCCATCCAGCAGAAAGGCAGGTCCATAAAAACATCATGGTGTATCTTCATCCACATTCACTGATCTGGCACTGAGCAACTTCTGGCTTTTTCACAAAGTCAAAATGCCCATGAAAGGTAAATGTTTTCAATCAATTCAGGACATCAAGGCAGTGCTGACAGTGCGACTAAAGACATAAAAAAGGACTATCAGAATTGCCTCAGAAAGTGGCAGAAATGATGGGATAAGTGTGTTCTAAGTAAGGGGAGTCTTTTGAAAAGAGCTAATGGCAATCTATCTTTTATTTTAATATTTTTTATTTAATCATACATATATGGAGAGTTGCTGTTTGCGTGTGTTTTGTGTTGTGTTGTATGTGTGATGTTTACTGCTTGTGTGTTGAGTGTACGCATGCTCTAAAGAGAGAAAAAGAGAAGGTAGCAGTGCACCCTTTTAGCACTTATATTAGAGGAGATCTTCAACCCTCTGTGTTGGTAGAAGGGAAGGAAGGATTCTTTTGTCTCTTATAGCTGAGCCCAAAGCCCCATCCCTTCAAACTGAAAACACTCAGGAGATTACACTCATCTCTGGCTTACAATCCTTCATTACGTCAGTCAGGATCTCCATTCCCCCTGCATAGAACAAAGGTGTCTGGTCAGGCTTAGAAAGGGTTTCCAGGAGGTTTTTGGTTGTCACAGCTGTATTCTTTCCTGTATTCAGCAATTCATGGGCTTCTTTTTCTTGAAAGTCTGTCTTCTCCTGGAGATCTACTTGGTGCAGGTATTCTGATAAAACAAGAGGGAAACACACAAACCAAACAAAACCCTTTTAACCCAAATACCACACAAAAAGTCACCTAACAACATTTCACAAGAGTCACTGTTCCTTCCTCACTCCTTTTCTTCTTTCTTTTTCCTTTCCTTTTATTGGAAGTTGAAAAGTATAGAGCATTAAAATAATGTGAACACTCCTCAGCAAGAAAAAGTTTAGGAACAAAGTAAAGCCCGACTCTTAACCATCTTGGAGATTCTGAGCAATCTAGAAGACACAATAGGAGGATAGCACAGAGAAAAGGAAGGTAAAAACTAGAGTGGGAGAAGAATGGGCTGTTAACACAGCAGGTGGCTCATACAGGAAAGGAAAGGTGTTGCCTTGTGGTTCCACGAAGAGAAGGTAGGAAGACATCCAACAGGGAGGAGCATGAAGGGAAATCAAGTTCAGAGAAAGGATACTAGCAGGAACATTCTCACCTTTCACCTGTGTCTGCAGCTTGGGGTTTATTTCTGAGATCTTCTGATAACACTGTCTGGACTGGAAAACAGAAGCAAGACCTTGAAGAGCGGCAGGGGGTAAGGATGATTACAAAACACTGGGCATCACAGGGCTTGGCTCCTTCATTTTTCCACCTGGCTTCCTCCGGCTCTTGGCAAAGGCAATAGGCATGGAGAAAATGATGTGTACCTGATAATTTGTTTAGGCTTTTTTGCTTCTGTGGGACAAAAAGTACTATTTCAAAGCTCATTCTAAAAATTTATGTTGCCAGATACAGACTGTGATGAAAAATATAACCAGTCCCAAATTTGGGGGATCATGTCTGTCTGGGATAGGAATAATCATAAGGAAAATGCAAAAGTTAGATATGATGTTTGTACTAGGAGGCTATTTGTCAGATATATTTAAAGGGAGGAGGAAATAAATAAAGCTGGAGACACTCAGGAACAAGAAAAAGAACTGCCTAGTTAAATGTACAGCCTGCAAGACAGTTGCAGGAGTCCATTCACTCACTGATCACCCTGACTCAGCTAGAAAACTTGAAGAAACTTAGATAAGAAGGTTCTGGAAGAAGAAAGATTCCAATTCATGGAAATTTCTAGAGTAAGGCAGCATTGCCCATAAGGATATAAGAAACGCCTGGAGGGTAATCCAACCAGTCGTCAAGCAAAATAACTAAGGAAACAAAACACAAACAGCTCAAAGACATCTTGAAGGTTCAAGGCCCATCTAGGAGAAAGATTAAGAAATGAAGAAAAAGGGCCAGGTATTTAGCTCAGTGGCATCACATCTGCCTCTCAAGGTGCAAGGTCCTGAGTTCAATCCCCAGTACCAAAACAAACAAACAAAACAAAACAAAAAACAAAAAAAAGAAAAGAAAAGAAGAAAAAAATGTCACATTTTACAAAGGGGCACTGTTGCAGAACAGAAATGTATGTCAAAGCTAACTTCTCTTCAACACCAACTCCAATTTTTCAGCAATTTCTGATGGCGACACCATCAATATATACCCAGAATCTCATTACTTCTTATTATATCCATCACCACCATAAGCCAATCAATGCTTGGATAATTTATTTCAATCTTTTTTTTTTCTAATTGGTTTTGTGTTCTTATTTTGCCATTACAAAATATATTCTCATACAGAGGTCAAAGTAATCCTTTAAAATATGTTAGATCATATTAATCTTTGTTAAAAAACCCTTTAATGGCTGACAGATCACTCAAAGTAAGAGCCAAGACCCTCTGAAAAGCTTCCAGAGCCCTGTAGACTCAGTCCCATAATCACCCCAACTTAAAGTCCATGAAGAAAATCATATATTTACCATTAACTGATTAAAATCACTCAAAAGGAGAAAGGATAGTCCCTTCACTAAATGAGATTGGAACAACTGAGTATCTACAAGCAAAAGAAGGAAGCTGAATCCCTACCTCAAACCACATATAAAGATTAATTCAACATGGACCACAGATCTAAATGTGTGAGCTACAGCCATAAACTCTCAGGAAAAAAATAGGTATAAATCTTCATTTGGAGACAATAAAAGCTCAAGCAGCCAAGGAAAAAACAGACTTCATCAAAATGAAATACTTTTGTGCTATGAAGAATACCATCAAAAGAGTGAAAAAGACAACATAAATAATGGAAGAAAATATCTGTAAATCATGTATCTGATAAGAAATCTGTATTCAGAATATATGAAAAATTCTTACAACTCACTATAAAAGGACAAAAAAAAAACTTCACTTAAAAACATCAAAGGATCTGAAAAGACATTGCTCCAAAGAAGGTACAAATGGCCAATAAGCACATGAAATATCTCAACATTGTTAGTCATTAGGGAAGTACAAATGAACACCACAATGAGATGACATTCACTAGAATAAATATAATCAAAAAGAAAGATAATACACTAAGTCCCAGACTTACAAACATTCAAGCTGCAAACTTTCATAGTTATGAATCGACCTCACATTATGTAGATGGAAACAAATCACAGAAGTAGCTCATGTTTCTGCCAGACACAGTCACAGTGGTGCTGCTGTGCTCACTGTACAGTGCAATAGTGCACAGTAGTGTAGTGCTCAGCCAGAGCCCATGTTGTCCAGAAGCAAGAGGACAACAGTGCTGATGTGGTATGGTTTTTTTAAAATGCTTTACATTGTACATTTACACCAAAAGTGTATGAGTCACTTTGTCAGACTTGTGAGCAAATCCAACTAGTGAGAATAGAACTCATCTGTAAATTGGGAACTTACTGTACAGGTATCAGAAAAGATGCAAAGATGGGTCCCTCATATACTGCTGAAAGAAATATAAAATTCAAAAAGCTGTAGCCACTTTGGAAAATAGTTTGACAGTTCCTGAAAAGGTTAATAATAGAGTTATCATATAACCTAGCAATTCTACTCCTAAGTATATACCCAAGAAAAAAGTTGTACATGAATGTTCACAGCCACCTTAGTCATAACAGTCAAAGAGTGGGAACAACCCAAATGTTCATCAGCTAATAAATGGATAAATAAAATATGGTACACTCTTACAATGGCATATTATTGGGCAATAAAAAGGAATGAAGAATTTACATATACCATGACTTGGATGAACCACGCCAACATTAAAGTGAAAGACACCAGTCATAAAAGAGGACATATTATATGATTTTATTTGTTTAAAACATCCAGGACAAGCAAATGTGTAGAGGTGGAAAGGATAATGCTGCCTAAGGTTGAGGTGTAGATGAGAAAAGTGAAGTGGTTGTGAAAGACTGTGGTGATGGTGGCCTAACTCTGAATATACTAAAAACCACAGATTGTATACTTTCCATAGGTGGTTTAGTCACTTTTCCCATTGCTGGGACAAAATACCCAGCATCTGCAACTTAAAGGAGGAGAGGTTTATTCTAACCCACAGTTCAGAAGTTTCAGTCCAGGTTCAGTACACTTAAACAGTAATGGCATGGTAGAAGGGCCTGGGCAGAGGAAAGCTGCTCAAGTTTTGGTAGCCAAGAAGCAGAGGGAGAGAAAATCAATAAAATTCAGAGAGGGAAATATACCCTTTGAGGTCATGCCCCCAATGACCCACCTTTAACCAGGCTCCACCTCCTAACAGCAAGTCACCTATAGCGCCTCTATAATTCAATCACCTTCCAAAAGCCCCTCTCATGAGTACATGAAGTCTTTGGGGGGACATTTCTGACTGAAACTATAACAATAGGTAAACTGTAACAATAGGCATGCTATATGAATTATATCTCAAGAGAGCTGCTATTAGCAATATGTAATATCTTAGCACATGTATTTGAGCTGTTATTTTTGGGTGATGAGATTGCAAGTGAATTTAATTTTCTCTCTTTTTTTATGGCTTTTCTCTCCAGAAGTTGCATAAGCACTGGTAGAAAATGCTGCAAGAGAAATTCTCACATTTGGCAGGGTTGTACTAGTGGACACATCTTAAGAGTTATGTTGGAAAATACTAAAGACAGGAATCATATCAAACCAACCTGGAGGACCATGGTTCTCCTCTGGAACAATCCAGAGCAATACTCTGCGGTCAAATATGCACTGACATTCCTTTAAGAACTCACCATACTGTAGTTCTTCAGGGCCAGATGAGCTTTTCCCATGTGGAAATATGCCTTTGTACATTTTTCATCACACTGTAGAAAAGAGAATGACTGATCAGATGTTTCATAAGATTTGAAGTCATTAGGTACTTCCCTATCTGTCTCACTAACAGAGTGGAGGCAGAGCTTTGGTTTTTCAGGACAGCTACCAGAGTTGACAATTAAAACTTTTCTGTGCATCTGTAACCAAACTAAATGATGCCTGGGAGAAGCCTGGATGTTCCAGTAAGCTCTCTATCAAATGAATGATGCCTGCCAGTTTTCAGTTCTATTTAATGAGACTCACTCAGGAAGCAAACCATAAACCCTTACTTTAGAAGAGCTCTTAATATTGAATGAACATTAGAATCACCCAGGATGCTCATAAAATCCTGACCCCACACCAGTTATTCTCTTGGGTGGGGCCTAGGAATAAATAATTTTTTAGCTCTCCAGGGGATGTAACTGTGCAGCCACATTTGAGAAATCCTGGTTTATTAGAAGAGAGTGAACTCATTCTGGGCAAGGAAGCAACTGAGGTTACCAGCACATCTTGGTGGGCCAAGGAAGTGCCTGCTCTCAAATGAACCACAATATGCAGACTGTGAGCTTACATTCACATCACTTAAGGTCTGGAGTTATGTCCCTTTCAGAAGGCAGGATTGGAACTCATGGCTCAGAATTCATTGTTTACACAAGGAGCATGCACCTGCTGTCTGGGCCTAATTATTATGACGGAGGGAAATGGTTTGGCATAGAGAGACTGATTAAAATGTAAGACAGCCGGTTAAGTAACCTTTATGGAATTCCTTTTAGGTGCAAGATACTGTGCCAGGTCAGTCTTAAGTCAGTCTTAACTGTGCAGAGTGCAGTCTTAAGGAGATCAAGTTTAAAAGTCTAATGTGTCCTGGGTGAACCCTTGCTCCGCTTCTCACCAGAAGTGGAATGTTAGCCAGGACATCTCGATGGACATCTTCATGTACATTATTACCTGATTCACTGTTAAGTGAAGAGTAGTAGTAGCAGCAGTAGTAGTAGTAATTATAATAAGAATACATGATCGTTCAGTCCATTTCATGCGCTAGACACTGAACTTGATGGTTCATATGAATGACCTCATAAAAAGCTTGTGACAACTCAATAATGCAAGTACAATTTTTTACAGATGAGGAAAGTAGAACTGGAGAGGCTCAAGATCAAATGAACAGTAAGTAAGTGGAAGAGCTGGAACCTGAAATCTGATTATTTGACTCCAGAAATCAAGCACTTCAAATAATACTAACTCCCATTCAGAAATATCCTGCAGAAAAAAGGGATATGTAGATATTTTAGGAAATGCTACTGCAAAAGTTGACTAGGAAGAAGTCTGCTCTAAAGTGATGCAGTCCAAAAGAGGGCATACAAAGTGCGGGGATTGAGCTAGATCCTGAGTGATAGGAGCAGGGATGAGAGGGCAGAGGGGGAAGAGCTGAGCAAGGTCCCCAGGTTGGAGGGTCCAGGGGCTTTCATTGATGGCCCAGGTGGGATTAGGGATAGCTGCCTGACGGTGGGGACATAGGGCTGGAAATGGGGAGCTGGACCTTACTCCACATGGAGGCTCTGAATGTCAGGCAAGAGAACGGTTTCATCAGTAGCAGTGTGGAGGCAAGTGAGGAAACACATGCAGACCTAACCAGAGGAGGAAAAGGCAGGGAGCCGAGTGAGGAAACCAGACGATCCCTTGGACCTTTGGCTGATGTCTGAAGTCCTGGTGACAGTGGGAGTGGAAAGAAGTACAGACACTAGAGCCGTGGCAAAAAATAAAAGACCAGCACCAACTAAATATAAGTGATAAGGGTAGAGGACGTGATGTCCAAACCCTGGTTTGGATTCCTGGAAAACATGGGGTGGCACTGACAGAAAGAAAAGAAGTCAGAGAGAGAAGGGAATGGAGAAGATGGAAAGTCAGCTGCTAGACATGCTGAGTTTCAGAGGATGCCACGAAAATTAGATGAAAGGTTGTGGGAGGGGCATGAAATGCAGCTCTGGAGCCAGGGGAAGGGGGAGTCTAGGGAAGAAGGTGTGAGAGGCATTTGCAGAGATGAGGTGAACAGGTTCTCAAGCCTGGACAATTCCCCAAAGATGAAACAGAGGAAGCAGAAAGGAAATGGTCACAGAGAAAAGAGGAAACTCCAACAGGTCAGTTGAGTATAGCCAAATGCCCACCCAAGTTACACACTTAAGGCTGCAGCCATGGCCTACTACATCATCGTGAAGTGTGTGTAGCTATGACTTCACCTTCCTCCACACAGATATAAAAGGCCATTAATGGATTTTCTCACTGCTGGTCCATTCTCCTTTGAGCATGTGTCACTCTTCAGTAAGATCTCCTCTTAAATGAATCCTGCTTTCAGACCAAGATTTATTTCAATGCACAGCAAGCATTCTACCAAGAAAGAAATGATTCTGATCCTAATTGAAAACAGCTTCTCTACCTTACTTTCCTTGACAAGGAACATCAGTCTTGAGATACCATCACATAGGCTTGTCTCTAACAACTCAAAAGTGTCAAAAATAATAAAGTGGCATGAAAGTACTATTATTATTAATTATGGAGTGTCTGTAACATTCACTACTGATATTTTAAAGGATTTTAAAGAAAGCAAAACTTTTTCTTTGAATTTATGGCTTCATCATAGAACTGAATGTCACTTGTTTTTAGAATTCCTTGTGCAATTTTCCCCATTCCTCCAAGTGTTTACTCAAACCTCTTTAGCTGACAGCCTTGCTGGGCATTTAACAAGAATGGCTGTTGATTGTCAAGAGTTTTTAATGTCAGCTCCATTGGGCCTGCTTTGCCTTGGTTTCACTGTTACATGGTGCTTTGGTTAACATTTGGGGACAGGCCAGTGAATTATCCTAGTCAGCACAAGGATGGTCTGCTTCCTCAGTCTGGTCCTTGAAGGTCAGAACAGATGCTCTTGGAGGGCCTTCAAGGACACATTGTTTCTTCCACAAACAAGGATGAGGTCTGTACCCAGGGATTATGAAGTTAAAGGTTTCAAGGGAAAGGCCATTGTTAAGAGCACAGGTGAATAGTAAAACCAACATTAGCTCTGTGATCCTGTGTAAGTTACTTAATTATATCAAAGGCCTGGCTTCCTTGCTCCCAAAATAGGAAACATAGTGGTACTGAATAGAACCAACAAGGATGTTGTGAGCAGGAAACAAATGTGGTTTTTGCTGTCACTGTTGAAACAATCAAACAAATTATCCTTGCCTCTCTCGTATTACAGAATAATGACAGAGAAATCATGATCCAATAAGTTGATGAAGTAAGTTAGGTGATCTAGAGATGTGAAGACTTGACACTGTCATCAGCTTTGGGCAACTGTCATAACTTAAAGACCTCCCTAGTACAATCGGGCTGTATCTTCCAAAGAATAAGGAGATGATATACTCTAGATGTCCCTTTTGGGAGGATCTCTTATGTTTTACAAACTACCATAAGCAAAGGTGACTATGCAAGCAGATGTGGCCCCTGCCGCTGTGAGAAGGTGCTCTTGATTCACACTGAGCTCATTAGCTGAGGCTGGGTTGCTGTTCCAGAAATTAAAGCCACAGAATACACCTAGCACATTGTCCTGGCACCTCAATTTCTCTTGATTGTTAAGTTGTTTAAAACAATAGTGCTATATTAAAGCAAAAATACAAGCTTTACAGAGTGTCATATCAAATTCACAGGGACTTTTAAGATAAATCATACGTCATAAGAGGAATTTCACGTCTCTTCTTTCTAGACCCTTGCAAGGATCATGTTCATTCTCTTATGCTGTTAGCAGCACTTCAGTGAAGCATGTGAAGTGCTAGTCTGAGTTATTTAAAGGCCCCTGCAACAAAGTAACACAGAGGAATATGGAGTAAGAGTTAGCTATTCAGTCATCCAAAATAACCAACAAATAATCATGGCAATGTGAAAATGAACATTCCCTACTGTGAAAATGAACATGCACCTCTGATAATCTACTTTGGCAGATTTTGGAGAGAAAACCATGCAGGTTATAGTGCCGAGACCTTACTGATGTTGGACAATAGGAATTATTTTTCTCTGATTCTGATTATCCGTCTATAAATAGAAAATCCCTCTATAAATCCTTCTATAAATATATATCCTCCTATAGAGGATGTTACAGTACATTTCCAAATTGCTAGAGATGGAGGAGGAAAGCACAAACTGATGAGGAAGAATGACAACACTGTAAAAACAGGCTCCCGTTGCAGGCTCTAGAGATGGGAACATTTCTACTATGGCATGGAGCAATCATCTGTTAACACAGTAGAAAAAAACAATCTATTGCAATATAAAACCTTGAAAAAACAATTAGCAGAGCTTCTCTGGAATGCTTATTATCATGGACTAGGTACCTTATGTGCATTATCACGACTCCCACAACAATTCTATTCCATCCCATTTTATAGGGGAAGAAACTGAGGCTCTGTGTGCAGAGCCTGTACCCTTTCCTACTGTGATACACTGACAACTTGCTTCTATTCATTTCAGGACTGAGACATGTAGAGAAGGAAGCACGATACTATCATGTGCAAAAGGAAATATTTTCATACCTTCAGTGCCCATTCACAATCCACCAGGGCCTTCTGGTACTCCCCAAGTTTTATATAAGCCTGTAACGACACAAAGAGCTGACACTCAGACACAATTCTGCACCAAGCAGTCTTCAGACAGTACAGAAAATAGTCAAACAGCAGAATGGGGAAAAGGAGTCACTGGCTGCAGCCTGGATCAGGCAGGGTGCCAGCAGCACACAGATGTCACACTCACATGGCAAGTTGGAGAGAATATGGCAAAGGAACTACTTATAAGGTGAGGAGGACCAGGCTTGGGAACAGATGAGGGATGTCAGAATCCTAAGGCTAACATCACCATGGCTAAAACTGAAGAGGTACAAAGAGGAGCAAAGAAGAAAGTGGGAGATGGTAGCTATGTGAAAGAGCTGCCTCACGTGAGCTAAATCCTTCACTAGAACTGAAAGCCAGGAGAATAAACATCTCAATCTTGCTGTTCACCTTTCTTCTGATCTCACTGGCTGAACCCAAAGGGAAGCTTAGAGAGCCAGGAAGCCAAAGCATCAGCCCACACAGGCCAACCCCAGGCCACAGAGGAGGGCAAACAAAGAGAGGCAGGAAAAACAAAGCACAACAATCACACCTACAAAAGAAGAGTTTACCTATTGAGCCTAACCTGCTGTGAATGTTCCAAAAGGGCACAAGATGACAAAGGGAATCAAAAAAGTAGATGACAGGGCCAGGGATTTAGCTCAGTGGTTCTGCCGCCTGCCTCTCAAGCACAAGGACCCAAGTTTGATCCCCGGTACAAAAATAAATAAATAAATAAATAAATAAAAGTAGATGACAACAAGTGCTGGAAAGGATATGGAAAGGCTGGAATAGCCAGGAGGAATGTAAAATGGGGCAGGCACTTTGGAAGATAGTCAGACAGTACCTCCAAAGTTAAAATATAGAGTTGCCATATGAGCTAGCAATTCTGCCTCTAGGTGTATACCAAGAAGACGGTAACCACATATCCACACAAAAATTTATATATGAATGCTCATAGCAGAACTATTTGTAATAGCCAAAAATAGAAACAAGCCAAATGTCCACAACGGACAGATAACTAAAATATGGTATGCCTATATAATGAAAAATTGTTCAGCAATAGAAGGAAATGAAGTACTGATATATACTGTGATGTGGGTAAACTTTGAAAACATTATGCCAAATGAAAGAAATCAGAAACAAAGGATAACTATTATATAATTCAATTTATATGAAATGTTCAGAATAGGCAACTATATAGGGGCAGAAAGTAGATTAGTGGTTGTCTAGGTCTGGGAGTGAGGGTGGGGAAATGGAAAATTTGGAGGGTGACAGCTAAAGAGTATTACTATTATTTATATCTAGCTGTTCCCCAAGAGCTTCAGGAGCTCCTAGGCAGGGCTTTGGCAAGGTGACTGGATTATGGGAGTTTATACTTGACTTGCTGTTAGAAGTGAGGTTTGATTGGAAGAGGGAGGTCAGAGTGGGTGTGACATGGAAGGGTGTATCTCCTTTCCTGGCTCTTTCCTTGATGTCCTCTGTCTTCTATCTGCCATTCCATGAGTCATCCTTTCCTGCGTTGGAGCCAGTTGACAGTGTAAGGACTGAGATTACTGGAATGTTGAACCAGAATAAATCTCTCCTCCTTTTAGATGCTGTTGTCAGAAACTGTGTATCAGTGACTACAAAGTGAGTAAGACAGATATAGAGTTTCTTCTGGGATCATGAAATGTTCAGAATTGATTGTGATTTGCATAACTTTGTGATTATACTAAAACCCAGTAATTATACCCTTTAAGTGGGTGAATTGTATGGTGTATAAATTATGTCTCAATAATGTTACCAAAAATAGATGAAGAAAAAGTTCTGCTCTGTCCTCATAATCCCAGCAGAAAGAAAGAAATACAGGAAACAGACTGACATTCAAGAGGCCATCACCATGAGCCCTTAGTACCAAACGGCTGGGTACTCTTTTGGAATCCTCTGTAACTGGGAAAAATCTTGAAAAATCAAAAATCAACTTGGAATTTGGGGGTTATTAGTCACTCTCTCATCACTGGGACAAAATACCTGATATCTGCAACTGAAAGAGGGGAACGTTTATTTTGGCTCACAGTTTTAGATTGTTCAGTACATGGCTGGCCAACTCCAAGGCAGAAACAGCATGAAGGAAGGGCACGGCAGAGGAAAGCTGCTCACCCCATGATAACCAGTTAGCAGGGAGAGAGAAAGAAGGAGTTGGAACAAGAACACAACCTTCCCGGTCATACCCTCAATGACCCACCTCCTTCAGCCAAGGTCCCATCTCCTAACAGTGCATTCAGCCATCAACTCATCGATGAATTAATCCACTGATGAGTACAATGTCTCTATGACCCAGTCATCTCCCAAAAGCTCCACCTCCAAATACGAGACTTTTGCGGGACAGTTTAGATCTAAATAACAACAGGACTCCACATAAACTAAATGGATTTGAGCATTTAGTTGTTTAGCAAAAGCTTCCAGCACAAAAAATAAAAGACTGTTTAAAGATAAGCACAATAGCTGCTGCAACCTTCTTATTAATTACTGGCCACAATAAGTGGCCAATAAATTCTTACCAAGATTTTAAAGTTTCCAAAGAAGCAACAATGATCACGTCATGTAAGAAAGGAAAACCAAGTACCAGGAGGATAAGTGGTTTCTCCAGGGTTCCATCAGTCACCGGTAATAGAGCCAACACCACACATACGCTTGTCCATCATCAAAAGGGCACCAGGCACTTGACATTTGTAACATTAAGATGAAATATTTGGAAAAGCCAATTATGGGGTCAGTGTTGTAACTCATGAGGAAAATAAGCACTCAACCAAAATGAGGAGGGAGCAAGCAATAGCGAGCTCATGCATTTCTGCTGTGCAATTCTGTGCCACTGTAGTAAGGGAGCTGAGAGGTGATGCTTTTATTAACTTAGGCTCCATACTAATTGAAGAAGACAACGCTTTGAGATGTCTGTTTTATAAAGCACCATCCATTCCTCTGGGGTCCTGTGTTGCATCTGGAAGTCAGAAGATATGCGGAAGAAGTCAACATCATTCTAGACCACTGTAGTCAGGATTTTGAGGCACTGATTCAGGATACACACAGACCCTGTAAATATCTGCAAGGGCTTCAACTGTTTCTCTACACAATCTTCTTATTTTTCTGTTTCTCCTCCCTCTCCAAAGCTTGTATTTAACACCCTGTAACTTCTATATTCTTTTTTGCTTTTCTACGTTTTCAGAAGAGCTATTTTTTCCAAATGGCAATTAAACTCCAGATTTATCTAAATTACACCAGCAATCTATTGATCATAACATTAACTCCAGGGGAAAAACAAAGTGATGAAAGGGTAGATTTTTTTCCTTCAACAAGCAGCATTCAATTTGCAGGGTCCTTATTAAGTGTTTTCTATCACTGCATGCAAACAGGGGAGGCATTTTAAAAATAGTCAATGGTTCAAATGACTCAACACAGACAGCACATTTTGCATTTGTTTGTCTCAGAATAAGCTTTCTCTTTGGGAAAACTGGGGGAAATTGCTTCCCCAAAGCTTTTCATTGCATTTACTTATGTTTATCCACATTCATTCTTAATGTGATTCTTCATAACTAATCAAAGAGCTGCTTAAAATTGAGAACAGTAAAACTGTAACTAATTTAGATGAGTCAGAGTATGGGAAGCCTGAGTTAGATAGAAGTTTGAATTACATAACATTCTAAAAGCAATTCAATTTTATTGCTTTTGAATCACTAAATTAACCAGACGGAGCAAGCAATGGTAGGTACAGCTACTATTTTAGACACCAAATTATAGACCAAATTTAGTGATAAATAAGAATGAAATGTAATTATTATAGTAATTGCTTACATCTAAATGATTCTTCTGAATTGTCAGCAGAAATTTAATTCCTTACATGAAGTTATTATGTCTTCAATGTTACATAACATAACAAGGATTTATTGAACATCTCTTGCAAACAGAGCATTAGAGGGAAAGCAAACAGTAGTTTTTGCCCTTAAAAAGTTTAATTTATAAATATCATTAGGGTGATAAAATACACACTGCTAAATTGATCTCTGGCCATCTTATTTACTAATTTACTTCCGTATAGAAAATTTTTCTGACAAATGGGGTAGGCAAATAAAATCCAAACTCTAGTTGGAATCATTCAAAGTTCTAAACTAATGAGGATGTATGGTGCTTAAATTTATAATTAAATCAGTGTCACTCTCTGGACTCTCTTGCTTGCAATGCTCTCCTTCAGCATATGCAGCCAGACATGTAACTTTGAGTTACAGAGATTGGGGCTGACAGGGCCTGTGCAGCAGCCTCTCCCTTTGGTAAATGACATAGCATCAAGTTCATCTTACACAGGTCCTGCTGACAGATCCTCACCATGAGATAATTATGTCAATGAATCTGCCAGTTCTTCAGGCCTGAACAGCAGGTACCATACAAAACTGCAACTGCTTTTCAAAGATAAGGTCATAGGTGACATTCTTGTTTCAATGAAGAACTATCAGCCATGTCCGTCCACTAAGTAGCAGCTAATAAACATCTGAGTAATGGGTTTTTGCCTGGCATTGTGGGAAACTAGAACCCTCCATGCTATAAAACTGAGCTGAAAGGGCTTTCAGAAACTCAGCATTTTGAGAAATTGGTTCATCAGCTACTCATTTAACTCTAATCACAGGATCTTAATCATACTGATACAATGAAGAAGAAAGTATAAGGAGAGTGTTATAATTTAGATAAAAATATCCCCAAAGGGCTTATGCGTTCAAAAGTAGATATTTTAGAAGGTGGTAAGATCATGGGGGCCCTAACCGCACCAGTGGATTAATCCACTGATGAATTCATAACTGAATGGGCTGTTAGGAGGTGGGGGCTGGATGGAAGAAATCAGTCACTGGGAGCATAATTAGGAAGGGTATATTCCTGGTCCCTTCCTCTCTGGCTCTTTCGTCTCTCTGCTTTTCAGCTGCCAAGAGATGAGAAGCTTTCTTCCATCACAATTTTCTGCCATGGAGCCAGCTTGCCATGGACTGAAACCTCTGAAACTGGGAACTAAAATGAAGTTTTCTCCTTTAAATTGAGTATGTCAGGTATTCTATCCCAGCGACAGGAAAGTGACTACTACAGTAGCCTTTACAAGTGCAGACTCTCACCAAGAAAGGAAGCTGGACAAACTGAGTGGTGGCTGAATTCCAAGGGCTTATGGGTCATTTCACACCAAGTGTTCTCCTTTACAAACATGGAAAAGTACCTGGTCACCATTAGTGATGTGTTGCAGCTGACTCAGATAATGAAGAGAGCTAACCATATGCAGTTCTTCCCACATCTTCCTTCATGATTTCACCCTGGTAGCTTAGAATCAGAATACGGTAGGAGTTTTTATATCATGGGAACAGGTGCATGCTATACACAAATCAGTTCCCCTTCTACCCAAAATGAGCCAGTAGGAAAATATTTACCAACCCACCAGTGGTACCACCTCATCTTGTTTTTGTTTTCACAAGTTTAGAGGCAGTTGTTCCCTGGGAAAACCCCGTGGACACATATGGCTCACTGACCTGGGCTCGGTTGGTATACAGAACTTTCATATCCTTCATCTTGTCCAAGCCCTCGCTGTAGTGCAGGATGGCCATCTCATAGTTGCCCTTGGCAAAGGCTTTGTTCCCATTTTCTTTTAGGGCTATGAGAATAAAAGTCATACAGATAAGTTCTCACCACAGAGCAAAAAAAAACCTTCCAAACTGTAGCCCCTTGATTTTCCAACTACTCTGAAGGTCCTAGCTGCCACAGACCCAAAAGGCATTTGTCACTCATTTCTCTGCAGATATTTCAGGACCAGTTTCTTTCTTTCTTCTTTTTTTCCTTCTCCAAATCCAGCCTAAGCATTTTAAGTACTTTTTCAAAAAAAGTGACTATACATCAGGCTGCTGAATCATTTCAAGCTTGCTACAGAGACTAAGGTTACACATCCATGAAAAAGACAGAAATTCTTTAGATCCAAGGATGCATGAATCTGTGCAGTTATCAGCAAGAGCAGGGAAAATAATGTTACATTAATTAAGAGCCTTCTTCAGTTTTATCAGTGAGATTAAAAACTCTAATTTTAATATTCATAGTTTTGATAAATAAACATTCATTTAGATACCAGCAAGGTCTACAGAGGACCATACTGGGAGACCTAAATGATGAGAGAGGGTGTAGCAAAGCTCTGGAGTTTTTCATCCTTATTAAGAAAGGATTTAAATATAAGAGCAGAACTCCCTTATGCAATAATTATTTCTGAATATGTATTTATGCTTGAGTAACTAATATAAAAATTATATATGATTTTCATTCTATAGTGTTAATATATTCCTTTTAAGAGAATGATTATCTTGGAAAGAGTTCCATTGTGAAATAATGGATTATTTATTAAATGGTGTCTGTCTAGAAAAAAAACAAAACAGAAAGGAAGGTCATATAATTTTCTAATGAGTATGGGTAGAATCATTCACATCTGCAATACATACTTCTGGATATTAAGAAATAATACTGCAAGTATTCTTTTGATGCATGTATCTTACTCCCCACATACACAGAATGTGCCTTTCTTTTATTTTGTTTCTCTTTTTTATTTTTCTGACTTCCTCACTGATGCCTCAGGCTCACCAGTGGAGCCTCGCTCCCATCTCACCATAATTCCTAAGCAGTGTGCAGGATTCTGACCTACTAAGCCCACCCATATGCTTTAGGAGTCTGACTGCTCATTTCGAGAGAAGCAGAGAACAGAGCACTGATGATATCTGCCTGGAAAGGTCCCACTGCCACAGGCCCATCATGAGACTACCACCTGGTGTCCTCAAACATTGACACACAGGCTCTCAGTGCTCTTCCAGCCCCAAGCATCTCAGCTACTGAAAAGTAAGGACAAACAGTTACCATCTGCTAAGACTTTGTTTTCCCGTCTTCTCTCGGCTCGCTCCTTTGCATCGTTCTCCACAGATGCCATGAAGACCTCTGACAGCAGAGTAATATCAAATATTAGGAAGAAAAATCCAAATACTGTAATCAGTGCTTTAGCTCAAATGCAGAAGAAAGATACTTTAGAACTTTACAGCCACACTTCTCATGCATATACATGGAGGCACACACACACACGCACGCATACACACATCTGAGGCAACCACAATGACATTTTCTTAATTTGACATTAAATGGAATCTGTGTAATGTATTATTATACATGATGGCTATGATTAGGCTTCAAATTTGAATTATGTCTTTTAAAAGAGGTTTTCTTTGAAGAGAGACTTTTTTTGTTCCATTTAGCATAATGAGTCTCTAAGCTGAGCAACAGAGGAAACATCTAGATCCCCTGAGTAGCTAAGAGTAACTTGGATAATACAGAATAACAGAATTCAGTTTATAGAATATTGACCAGGACAAAGTACTGCAGTGCCTTTGTTCATGAACTTTGTTTGTTCCAGGATTATGGCAAAGATGACTACGTTCATGGTCTTGCCAAGAATGATGGCATGGTCATGTCTGTCACCCGATGAAGAGTCCACAAACAAAAAACCAATTTAGCCAAACATTTCTGTTTGCAAACCAAATTGTTCACAAACAAAAGTGCTTGTAAACTGAGGTACCACTGTAGAAAAAAGCCTCTAAATGCAGTCTCCTCTGATCACTAGTATTAGAAATGGGTGATCACAGGGTTTTTGTTCACAAGTTGTTTATAAGTCCTGAGGCTATAATTTAAGAATCTGGAAATCACAATCAATAAAACCTGGTCTTAAGTAAAAAATAGACACTGGGAAGAGAGATGCTTTCCTTACCTGGGTTTATTTCATCTGAATTCTGCAACACAGAGGTAATCATAAAAAACAAAGAAACAAATTTCAAAAACCACTCTCTGTTGAACATATATGTATACTAAAAAGACAAATCAGTTAGAAATGAGAAGTTGAGTCATTTATTCTAAACCCCAACACTGAAAAGTCCAAAATTCAGAGGCCTGCTGTTGCATTAGGAGATCTGATTGTGGGCACAATGTGGCTGATTCTGCAGAACTGAGGCTGCCCTAGAGAAGGGACCCCAGCTGTAGCTGTATGTGTTGGCAATAGAATTAGTAGAACATATTTCCTTAACAGTATGGTTTAACTATGGCACACAAGCTTAGGAGGAAGACAGAATGAACTTTCATTTAACCAAAGCCATGGCACTATTTAAAGATGACCCAGAAAGACCAATGTGGGGAAAATCAGAGTTTATACTTCCTTATGAAAGATAGATTTAGTGAATCTGAGAAACAAATGACCATTTTACAACTTTACTAGACATTTTGAGATTAAATTATTGCCTCAAAGTAAGTCTTTGTGATGTCTCTACTTATATAACTCTGTAAAGGAAAAGGAAGTTTTTACAGCAGCTTGAGGAGGGCTTATCATGGTCTTGTTCAAGGTTGTCCTGCACTCATCCTCCTCTCGAGCTTCCTCCATCAGCATCAGTCTCTCTTCTGTCTGTTGTACAGCTTTCTGTTGTATAATTGGGTCATCAGAATTCAGCTCCTGAATTAAAGTGGCTAGAGGAGAAATCAGATATGAATCAAAAAAAGTCTTCAAAAGAAAAGATTCCATTCATTAGAAAGGATGCTGCAGAAAATTAATGGGGAAGATCTCAGAGTAAGAGAACAAGCCAGTTAAAAGTGAAACAGAGCAATTAGAACCAACATGAGACAATTAAACATAGGATTTGTTTTGTCTGGAAAAAGCTACAGAAGAATTTAACACTGGGCTTTAAAGAAAGAGTTTTAAGCCATTATTCAACTATAATTTATGTAGAGTTTATTAAGAGTTAGATATTTATCCTGAAGGCTATTGATAAAAAATGAATTCAAAAAATCTTTTTTTAAAAGAGCTTATGATCTTGTGCTGGAGACAAACATGCAAATAAGTACAAGCAGTTCTGAAATCACAAAGCAATGGCTCTTTACCACCTCTTCCTCTCTTGACTGTACTGCTTACCCAGATTAGAGAACTTGCTTTGTCAGTTGGAGGCCACCCTGCCCAATACTCAGCTGCCTTGCTAACCATCCGTCCTTTCCCCCAACTAACAGATGAATCTGTTCACCTCCAAATTTGTCCAACTCCAAATGAATCTTCCCATCCTTCTCTCTCAGCCTTTATTAGGAATGCTGAGTACTGGCAGAGAAAGACACATAAATGCCTTGGGGAATTGGCGCCAACTCAACTGGATGTTTAGTGAGGCCCAACGATCTGTGTCATGGCATCTTAGGTATGGCACCCTATTATTCTCCCAAAGACTTTCACATTTTCTGCAATCTAAGTGCATTTCTCTGATGACCAGAGATCTTGAACATTTATTCATTCAGTCAGGAAAGAAACGACATCAGAAAGGAATTGTTTCAGCTTCCTACTATCAAACCTACAAAACTGTCCTACAATGTCCATCTGTCTTCCTACCCAAGGAAAAAAGTTCTGCTCCTCTTGTATGAGGTTAATTGTTCATCCTGTGCTCAGGATCCCACCACTGTGTTTTACACAATTGAGAACTCTACAGTGTCTATCAAATATCTCATCCTGACATATTTTCAATGTCTCCCATCTGCCCAGCTCCTATCTAAATGTATTTATATGCTTTAAATGTTTCTCAACTCATCCATTCTCCTTCAAAACTACTAAATTTCTAATTTTTTCCTTCCATTCCCCTTTGTCCCCACACCTCTGTCTCTGCACATCCTTCCCATCTGCAGAAAGATCTGACTTCCTGTTTCCTATGATCTAGCTTTTATTTTTTATTTTTAAAAATTATTCATACTTTGGGCTTTTCCTATAAAAGAAATTATGCAGTATTTAAGCCTGTGTGTCTGATTTATTTCACTAAACATTATGGTTTTAAGGTGCACCCATTTTGTTACAAATGACTCAAAATTTTTCCTTCATTATGTCAGAGGAGTAGTACATTATATATAAATAACTAATTTTCTTTTTCAATTAATCTGCTGATGGTTACATAGGCCACTTCTAAGCTTTAGATACTATGAGTTGTGCTGCTGTAAACATGGGTGTACATGTATCGCTGTGTCAGAATATCTTTAACCCTTTTGGAAAGATACCAAGAAAGGGGAATAGCTAGTTGAATGGAATTTCTAGTTTTAGTTTTTGAAGAATCTCCATACTGATTTCCACAGTGGCTGTACTAGTTTGCACTCCCACCAATAATAAGGGTGTCTACCCCACAGCATCACCAGAATTTGTTACTGTTGGGTTTTTGGATGATAACTATTCTTTCTGGAGTAAGATAGAATCTCAATGCTGTTTTAATTTGCATTTCCCTGAAGGCCAGAGATGCTGAGCATTTATTCATGTATTTATTGGCCATCTGTACTTCTGAAAAATGTTTATTCATTTCAGTTGCTCCATTTTTACTGGGTCTTTTATTTGGGGGGCTCTGGTTGTTTTTTGTTGTTGTTGTTGTTTTTTTAGTTCTTTGTAGATTCTAGGTATTAGATCTTGTCAGAGGAGTAGCTTGCAAAAAAATTTTCCCATTCTGTAGGTTGTCTTGCCATCTTAGTCACTGTTTCTTTTGCTGCGCAGAAGTTTCATACAATCTCATTTGTTCATTCTTGATGCTATTTCTTGTGCAACTGGGAATGCTTAGAAGTCCTTTCCTATACCTATGACTTCAAGAATTTTACCATCCAGTAGATTGTTTTCTGTTTTAATATTTCTTTGATTCATTTTTACTTTATTTTGGTGTGTAGTGATATAGGTCAAGACTCAGTCTTCCACATGCATGTAACTAGTTTTCCCAGCAACACTTACTAAAGAGGGTATCTTTCCTCCTATGTATGTTTTTGGCCCCTTTGTCAGAGATCAATTGTCTGAATGTCCCTGGGGTTGTTTATTCATATTCTATTGTTTCATTCATCCAGCTGTCTGTTTTTGTGCCAGTGCCATACTTTTTTTTTCTAGTATATGCTCAAATCTAGGATTGTGACCCTTCCTGCTTTGTTTTACTTGTGCAGGATTGCTTTTGCTCTACTTGGTCTCTTCTGGTTCCATGTAAATCTTAGGACAGTGTTTTCTAGTTCAGTGAGGGATGCTGTTAGTATTTTGATTAAATCTATACACATTTTAGTAGCCTGACCATTTTGCCAATATTAATTCTTCCAGGAACATGGGATTTTTCTGTTGTTCTCATTGACCGCTTCTTTCAGAATATGGGAGTTTTCATTGTACAGGTCTTTCACTTCCTTGGTTAGATTAATTTCTGAGTATTTAATTTTTCTTGATGCAACTGAGAATGATAGTGTTTTTGTGATTTCTTTCAGGGAGTTCATTATTGGTATATAATGATACTAATTTTTGTGTATTGAATTTGTATCCTGCTACATTGATGAATTTGGATATTAGTTCTAGTAGTCTTTTGGTGGAATTGTTTGGGTCCATTTTGTAGAGGATCATGTCATCTGTGAATAAGGATATTTTGATTTCTTCCTTTCCTATGCATATCCTTTTTAATTCTTTCTTTTACCTGAGTGGCTACAGTTTTGAGTGCTTATTGACTACAAAAGCATTTGGGTTTCTCACTCTTCTATGAAGTGCATTCTTCTATCCTTGGGTAGGGTCACTGGTCCCTTTTGTATTGTTTTATATGATTTCTTTATATAATCTGAAACATTTTCATGTATTTGTAAACTTCTCCATGGGTACAGTCTGTCTCATCACTTGTTTTTATGGAAACTTCCACTGAAGAAATTTTTAATATGGTAAATACACCAATATTTTCCTTATGATTATGCCTATTCTGCTGTCAAGTTTATAAGTACATTTCATATAGTGGCTTCTAAAGTCTTAACATTTCATTTGTTTCACTAATGTAATTAATCCTCCTACAGCTGATTCGACAGAACAGTAGCTTCATCTGTTGAGGAACCTTGCCTTCCTAATGATGTGCCTGTTCATTCCTGTTACTTATGAAATCTCTTCCAGGCTCCCCATTCTTTTCTGCCTTGTCTTTTGCAGCACCAACACCTGCATGCACTAGTTACTATAGCTTTTGTAGTAAGTCTTGAACAGTGAGTAAGAATTGTCCCACTACTTTTTCCTGCAGTTTTCTTGGTTATTCTTGGTCCTTTGCTCTTCCATGTGAATTCTGAAATCAACTTACTAAATTTTAGTACAAGTCACTTTTGGGATTTTAATGTGAATTGTACTGACTGTATAAAATAATTTGAGAATGTATATCTTTACCAAATGAGTCTTCCCAGCCATGAAAAAATATACCTTCATTCAGATGTTCTTTTATGTGTTTTAATTAAAATTTTTATGAACTAAACTCATAATTCTCATTGCATTAGTTGCTCTTTAACATCCTTTTTTAGCTGCAGCATGTCATCAAGGATAACACATTACATTTAGTCACACCTCCTTAGGCTTCTCTGGGCTGTGACAATTTCTTAACTTGTTTTTTATGACCTTGACAGTTTTGAGGCATAGTGGTCAGGCATTTTATAGACTGTCCTTCAATTTGGGTTTATCCTATATATTTCTCATGGTTAGACTGATGTCACAGAATTCAGAGAGGAAGATTGCACTACATAATATCAAGGGTACATGCTACCAATGTGACATCACAATGTTAACCTTAGTTATTTGTCTAAGATTGTATTTGTCAGCTTTTTTTATTCAAACGTCATTTTTCTCCCCTCCCTTATCATTCTGTATTCTTTGGAAGCAAGCCACTAAATGTATCTCTTATTAAAAGGTTTGAGGGTTATGATCCCTCCCTGGAAGGAGCACCACCTATATAAATTATTTGGACTTCCTCTGAATATTCATTTACTTATTCATTTATTCTGTTATTTTTGTTATTTTATTTTATTTTTTTTTTGGAGAGGGTTTTCCATGTAGTTTAGGTTGGTCTTGAATATACTATGTCCAGGCTGTCCTCAAATTCAGAGCTATCCTCCTCCCTAACCCTTCTGAGTGCTGAGATGACAGGCATGCACCACCAGGCCAGGACTTCAATCATTTATTTTTATCAGGATGGACTCATGGATATTTATTTTATACTTCATACTATATTATTTATCTATTATTTTTGGTACTGGGGACTGAACTCAGGACCTTGCATTTGTGAGGCAGGCGGTGGAATCACTGAGTTAAATCCCTGGCCCCTATACTTTGTGCTATAATATCATAGTACATTATTTAATTTGTAGCTCAAATTTTTCCAGTTTTGACCACTGGAATTTCTTTCAATTAAATTTTATAATTTTATCCATGATAGGCTCACATAATTTTGAAAGATTTTGGTTGTTTTTTTTTTTTTTTGGTACCGGGGATTGAACTCGGGTCCTTGCTCTTGCAAGGCAGGCCACCAAACCGCTGAGCTAAATCCCCCGCATGACAGATTTATTTTGGGATTGGTAAGTGAAGTCTTCCCTGACATCAGAAATTAAAAACAGAACTAGCACATAATCTAGCAAATTCATTTCTGAGTACACATCCAGAGGAAAAGAAGTCAGTATGTCAAAGAGACATCTGTACTCACAATGGAATTTACCCTAAAAAAAAAAAAAGAAAAGAAAAATTTTGTCATTTGCAACAACATGAATGAACCTAGAGAACACTATGCTAAGTGAAATAAGCCAGGTACAGAAAGGCAAGTTCTGTATGATCTCACTCAAAAACTCCTTGAAGCAATGTAAAATGGCAGTTACCGGAGGCTTGGGGTTGAGGATAGGAACATGTTGGTCACAAAAATATACAGTTTCACTCAAATAGGAGAAATAAGTTCTGCACGTTTATTGTACAGTATGGGACTAGCTAATAATAATGTATTATTTACTTGAAAATTGCTGAGAGTAGATCTTAAATGTTCTCAATACAAAAAAAGTAGTATGAGAACTGATGGATAGGTTAATTAGGTTGGTTTAATCACTTTACAATGTATACATAATCTAAACATCACACTGCATGCCAAAATATATATACAATTTTATTTGTCAGTTAAATCTGAATAAAGCTGGAAATTATGGCCTTAGCTTTACAGTCTTTTTGTCTTATAGTAATACTCAATTTCTACTTTCTTTTAGATACTGTTGGCCTAGTAAGTTATTTTTCCATTTTTTTAGGTTTCAGCTTTTCTGGGTCTTCAAGTTCAGGTGTGCTTCTCCTGAGCTCAGACTCTGCAAAATTAAGGTCCTGTGAACATCTTCCTTAGAATGTCATAACTCAGCAAACCTAACATATCCATCTTTTCTTCCACTAAGTCTGTTCTGGCTGCAAATGTCCACTCAGCTCTTAGGACTCATCCTGAGTCTTCGTTTTCCCTCTGTCCTTACAGCTTCAAACACTAAAGTTGGTCAAAGATGACTTCCAAACACATCTCAAATCTGTTCCCTGTGTCCATTCCCACTGCCATGATTCAAAGCGCAGCCAGTCCCTACCCTTCCTGCAGCACTATAACAGCTTTCTCTCTGCTCTCTGGGCACCCCTTTCCTTCCTGATGCAGACTTCATTCCAATCATAGCTAAAGGCACTTCTCTATAGCATAAATCTGAACATATCCCTGCTCTGAGTAAATGTGACAATTTCCAAAGCTCTCTCACAAATTCCCTACAGTGGCTTCCAAGGCCTTCCTTGGTCTGGCCTCCCCTCGTTCAGATGGGATCCTTTTCTCCTTGCTCTCTCCTATCCAGCCATATGGAGCTTTTCATTCCCTTTTTTTTTTTTTTGGTAACGGGGATCAAACTCAAGTCCTTGTATTTGCAAGGCAGGCAGCAGAACCACTGAGCTAAATCTCCCTGGCCCCGTTCCTTCTTTCTAAAAGGTACCACTCTCTTGCTGTAACTCCAGCTTTTTCCCCTTCTTTTCTTCCCATCTGGAACCCCCCTCAGCCTTCTCCTCAGTGGCAAATTCCTTCTCACTCTTCAGATTTTGCTTAAATTTTCACTTCTTCAGGGAAATTTTTTTTTTTTTTTTTTTTTTTTTTTTTTTTTTTGGTACTGGGGATCGAACTAAGGCCCCTGAGCTTGTGAGGCAGGCACCAGAACCACTGAGATAAATCCTCAGCCCTCTTCAGGGAAATCTTATTTGACTCGTGATATAGACTGAATTGTGCTTCTTGCAATAAATAAATAAATAAATAAAATGTCAAGACCCGAGTCCCTTATTTGGAGACTTGCAGACAGTCCTTTAAAGAGGTAATGAAATGAGATCATGTGCGTAAGGCTCTGATCCAGTATAACTAGTTCTCTTATGAAAGCATCTAGAGAGATGACCACACAACAGGTGGCCTTCTACAAGCCAAGGACAGAGGCCTCATATGAAATCAACCCTACCAACATTTTATCCTTTAAGTTCTAGTTCCCAGAACAGTGATAAAATACATTCCTGCTGCTTAAGCTTCCCAACCTATGGTGTTTTGCTATAACTGCCCTAGCAGGCTAATACAACTCCCTAAACTGGGTTAGAGTCTCCTGTACTTTTAAATTTTGCTTTTAGCCACATATAACTTTGAAATTATTTAGCATCTGTTTCCCCTACAGAACTATAATTCTTCTTTTATTATACTCCACAGTGCCTAGAACTATCACAAGAACCTAAGGAATGAATGTAGAGAATTCATATACATGGGGCCATATAAATTTAAATTAGTAAAAACATGAAAAGTGGAAATTCAGTTCCTCAGTCACACTGACCACAATTTAAATGGTCAGTAGCCACATGTGTCCACCGAACAGTGCAGATCATTTCCATCATTACAGCATGTTCCACTGGACAGTGCTGGTTTAATTGATATTTGAGTAAACCTGAAGTCTGAATAAGACACATAAAGAAGGAGAAGCAGAGGGAATAACAAAGAGCAAGTGCAAGGTATAAAATGCGAGGTTTGTGTGGCAACCACAGCAGTTTCCTGCTCTTCAAGTGTGAGGTGAGAGAAGTGAGACCAAAGTCATGTGGGGAGAGCTTGGGATTTATTGTGACTGAGAAGGAATCCAAGCAGAGAAGTGTCTGGGCCAGATCTGCATTTTAGATACATTACTCAGTGGGGAGTATATGCCTGGTGGCAAAAACAACAATTAAGGGTTGTTGAAATTCTGTTGAGAGGAACCAGAACAAAGGGAGAGTTGGAGAGGATGGAGCTGGGCAGAGGCCAAACTTGAAGCTGATTGGATGCAGAGTGAAGAGGTGGGAGAAGTTAGGTAAAACTGGTAGATTTGTGGATGGTGGTGCCACCCACTGACACCAGAAGGGGATGGCAGGAGAGGCAGGTTCCATTTGGAGAGGGGAGGGAGGAAGGGGGAAAGAGGTGATGACTCGATGTTGGACACATGGAGCTTGAAGTATCTGTAGGATTCGGAGGATATGGCAGTTGGCAGAAGAGGCTGAGGTTCTGAAAAGAAGCCCGGGTTGCAATTAAGATGTGGGAGCAACTAGGAAATAGGTGGTGGCTATGTGCTTACTTCAGCAGCACACATGCTAAAAAATTGAAACTATGCAGAGCAGATTAGCATGGCCCCTGTGTGAACAGGTGGTGGCTCAAATCACACGAAGAGCCATGTGAGCTGTAGGCCATGGCCAGGACTCAGAGCACTATTGAGGGATGAGCAGAAGACAGACTCACAAGAAACAAAAGAACTCACCAGTATGTATCAATGTGAGGTTACCCAAACTTTTAAAAAATGTGTACCTGTACAGTGTACTGTAAACAGCATGTTAACATATTTCTATTTGCTACCTAAGGCTAATTTGCTTGTTTGTTTGATTCTAGCTTCAGACAAGCTCCCTGAAGTCTGAACAGGGTCTGACTGGTTTGGAATCTCTTGAATGTGACGTGTGGGATCAGAGTACATGCTCCAAGGTCCCACCTGTCTGAGCTGGGGATGAGTCTTCTTGTGGAGAGAGAGACAGAGAGAAAATAGTAATCCTAAGAAATCCGTCTAATTTAATAGACGTTGGAGGAAAGCAATTTGATTTTTCCTCTATAGTTCAAAAAAAGAAATGACTCTACTCTAAAACAGAAAGGACACAGGCTGATCAATGGGATTCTTGACGGACCTCCCTAAAAGGCAATGGCTAGGCTCACTGGCTATGGTCCTTTTGACTGGAAAGGGGAGAAATATGGAGGAAAGCTGTCAGCCTGAATACCAATCAGAATGTTAACAGCTTCTATGATATCAATTAACAGCCAAAAAATATTGCCTTGAGGCTGCAGCTTACTTCTCAATATCCTTTTTCTTTAGTTTCAATTACGTTTTTTTCCTTAAGAGCCATAAACCTGTCAGACAACTCAGGAACTAACTTTATTATTTCCCTTTAGCCACCCCATCTCTCCAAAGGAGAACTCAATTTGTTTATGATTTACTGGTACTTACTGATTTCATCCACATTTTTAAGAAATTTCTGCAAGTCTTTCTCTTGATCATCAGCCATTGGGGGCCAAATTCCTAAGGGAGGCAGCACAAATGAGATTAATAATAAAACACTAAACAGAACTGTCAGGCTTATTGGCCTTCTTCCACTAAGAGCCAAGATTTAAAGACAGATTTGTGTTCATAAATGTCATGAATAACAGCAAGGAGATCCATTTTACACTGACTGCTGCTTAAAGCCAAGGGACACTCATTATTTGTGGCGATTCTTCCAGAAAGCTGCCAGCCCTCCCTCCACTGGTGAAACTGCTCTGCAAATAATTCCTCCAGAGCCAACATGAACCATTGTGATTCAGGGACCTGCTGTGAAGGATAGCAGGAGAAAAGCAACTGACAGGTCGCCAGAGACAAAGGGTGATGCTGACACCTGACTGGTCCTGACAGGATGGCAGAGGCTTGAACCTGGCAAGGTAACAGGTAATCAGAGATAGGACAATTTGCATCTAAATGTTTCTACTCAATTAAAATACACGCCTCTGGCTCATTTCTGAAGAGAAGCTACAAATTGCTGAAAGGATTAGAATTTGATGCCAGAGTGTACCTGGTGTCTTCTCAAGTCCTTGTGCTCAACAGTACCCAAAGGTTCATCCACACACCATAAAGATCAGCAGAGAGCTTGTGCAACATAAATTCCTCGAATTGGCCTGAGATTCTGTCAGTAACTCAGGGAGAGTGCCCAGGAGTGTGTATTTTAAACATACTTCCTGTGATTCTAATACCTCACATGTAGGTACAGTGGTGTCCTCGTGTAACACGTGTGACTTTCAATGACAGATCTGCCGCGAGCAAGCTGTGACTTACTTGCTCTACGCCTCTGTGCCCTTATCTCCACCATTTACAAACTAAAGTCACAACTCTTCTGGAAACAGTAATACAAACCTGGGGGCAATTTTGGGGTGAATGCAGCACCAGGCCCCAAATGCGTGAGGTGTTAGGCCCCTTATCTATCGCTAAGGGTTCTTTCCAGCTCAAACACAACTCCCTCAGAAGGGTCGCGTGATGCGAATTAACTGGTCTAAGGGTACGCGGGCCAGAGCGAAGGCTGAGAATTTTAAAGGCAAGGCCATCCCCGCTCCTCCCAAGTGCACGGCCCGGGGGCCAGTGCCACCCCCACCCGCCGCGGGACGCGGAAACCAGGATAGGGACGTCATCAAGGTGCTGAGCGCCGCTCTCCGCAGGGCCTGAGACCGTTGGGGACCCGCGCGACCGGTGCAGTGCAGCCGGGGCACAGCTCGCAAGGCCGCG